TTCAAGTTTCATGCAAAATGTCTTGGTCACTTTTCTACTGCTGTGAAGGGACACAACTAAGGCAACTTTCAGAGGAAAAGTCCTGAAGCTCTGTCCCAGAGGTGAAGCCATGACCGTCACAGCAGGGAGGTTGGCGGCAGGCAGGTGCGGCCCTGGCACAGTAGCTGAGAGCTGACCTCTGACCCATAAGCACTAGGCAGAGCACTAACTAGGAATGATGTGGGCTTTTAAAACCTCAATGCCTACCCCAAGCGACACACCTCTTCCAAGGCCACACCTCCCAATCCTTCCCAAACAGTTCTACCAACTGGGGACCAAACATTCACATGTGTGAGCCTATGGTGACATTCTCATTCAAGCTTCCACATAGATGTTCAACATAGGATGGGGTTACATACCTGTAAAACTATTATATTAACTTGAAAGTGCATTTAGCACCTTTAACCTACCAAATGGTCCTAGCCTAGCCTGCATATATTAAATATGCTCAAAACACTAACATCAGTGGGACAATGTCAGCCGAGAATCTGTTTGATAGTCATGTATTGTAACATGTAACTTACTGGCTTTGTAGCTCTGAAATCTACCAGCAACACCACGACCTGTAGTGTCGACTGTTCCCCTCGTGACCATGTCCATGGCTGGCAGAGGTCTGCTCCCTGCTACTGCATATTACAGTCAGAGTATCTATCCTACCACACACTGCCACCCTGGGAGAGACCAAAACTCACACTTTAAAGTCATGGTTTCTGCTTCTGCATCATTATAAAGTCAAGAAAGCCTAAGTTAAACTGATGCTAAAATGGGAGCATCTCTCTGCATGACAGAACAAACAGTGAGAGTTAAGGCTCCATGCGGTGTGGGGAGTCTAAATACACTGTCTTTCTGACATCCAGTAAGCCTTTGACTTCTGAGGCCGCTGGGACTCTCTCATTGCCGCCGATAGTCGCCCAGTGGTTGAGGACTTGCCCCACATGTGAGGGTCTGGGCTGGCATTGAAAACAGAGCACAGGACAAACTTTGCCACTCAGGGAAGACTCTGACAGGAAAATAGGAGAGTAAGGTCTCTCATACAAGTCAAAAGCAACAAATGCAGTACACGGTGTATTCAACTATCAAAATAAAAACGTTTTACAGTGATGCTTACGAACAGGAGTTGTGCCTAACATGATGCTCACATTTGTCTCCTGATGCCAAGAAGTGAATTTGCTTCACAGCTACAGTCCTAGTTAATTCCCTTTCCTCGATGAGCAGCAGGGTGTCTTTTCTCATGACACAGTCCCGTTCCTTGCTGTAGATCTGACTGTAGACGGTTCGCTGCCTTTTCTTACTCTTATGCTTATTCTGCATCTACAGCAGGAAAACCACCGGAGATTTGGCCCAGCAAGCCAGAAAAGAAGGCTTTAATGAAAGCGTAAGATTTTAATTTATTTTTTCTAAACACAAGTGATAGCTTTATTAGTTCTGATTAACAGAAATAATTTATGGCAACAGTTGTAACCTCTAATACATCTCTCAAAATCAGAAGTTTTCCCCATTTATGACAGAGCTCAACAAACTGCCTAAAGAATTCAGACATCTATTTATAGAACTGAGTTAATCGGTCATTTCTATTAAAAAGACTCATCTCAATTCTGACAAAATCTGGGGGTGTTTCTTGTGCATGTATGTGTGGGTATGTTCATGTATGGATGGGTCTGTGCACAGACCAGAGATGTTATCCCAGGAAGGCCATCTCCCCCCTTTAAAACAGGGTCTCTCATTGGCCTGAAGCTCATCAGCTGCACTAGACTGGCTTGCCAATAAACTCCAAAGGTCCTTCTCTCCCCATCCCCAGCCCTGAGATTACAAGTGTGCACTCTCACAGCCAGAAAATTTTTTTTTTTTTATTTTCGAGACAGGGTTTCTCCGTAGCTTTTGGTTCCTATCCTGGAACTAGCTTTTCTAGACCAGGCTGGCCTCGAACTCACTGAGATCCGCCTGCCTCTGCCTCCCGAGTGCTAGGATTACAGGCGTGCGCCATCACCGCCCGGCTCAGCTAGAATTTTTAAAAGCTTTACAGGTGTATTTGGACCCACAGTATAATCAGCCTGGGCATCTAGTAGTTCAGGTCCCCCCCCCCCAAGACGATGCCCACGAATAAGCAGGAAGCAGTCTTGAGAATCCATTGCCCCAATTCCTTTAACCTGTGGTGCCTAACCTCTGCCTTTTCATTATAAAAAAAGAGATGGGAATGTAATAATCTGTTCTGTCTCTTTAAGAGACAAGCCACTTCACTCACCCATCAGCTGAGGCAGGCAGCTCTTCTTTCCTGCCTGAATCTCTCCCTTTTTCTGTCTCTCGAAGAGGCAGCCTCTCTCTCTCTCCTCTCTCTCTCTCCTCTCTCTCTCTCTCTCTCTCTCTCTCTCTCTCCAGAACAGGAAGGGGCAATAATAACACACTTTCTGGTGAGAGCCTTGTGTTGTGGTACGTGGCGCTGGTGCATACAGGCCATTAACCAAGGCAGGGATTATTCTGTGCAAGTGTGACAGAAAAGCTGCTGGGAGGGCAAAGAATGCCCACAGATGCATCTGAGGTACACGTGCTACAGTTAAGAGGGTAGGGGTGTAGCACAGCACGTATGAGACTCTGGGCTCAATACTCAGCACTGAAGGAGGAGGAGGGACAGAAGCATGTTAGCCCTGACAAGTTAAAGCCAGGAGGTTAGCAAATATGACCCGAACCCTTGCCCATCCGCACTGCGCATCTCACGGCCCAGTCTTCTGGGGTGACTTTGCTGGCGCAGAAACCAAGCACCAGGCTGTTGAAGCCTGTCACCTTGGAGTCTTTGACGCACAGACTGCAGCCTGTATTTGTCCTCTAAACTGACAGGAGATCCAAGGGGCAGAGCAGATGAAAACGTGGAAGGAGAGGCTTGAGAAAAAGTATTATTCTACAGACCTTCAAGATGACTACCAGCCTGTCACTCAGCAAGAATTTCGAGAGTAAGCATTTGTCGCATGTAGCAACTGTGGCACATGGCACAGCAGGTCATGCAGTCCGAGGACACAGGTCCTATGTATTATTTTATTGAGCCAGAACCACACTGCTATACTTGCCTCGTTCATTTGCTGCAGTTTCCAAATTAGAGCGCACAACTCCATTTGCTTAGTGAGGCCACTATGTTGGAGTGCTGGCTCACATCTAATTCCAGTCCTGGAGAGCATCTGCACCATGCATGCGTATGGTGCAGACATACATGCAGGTAAAAACACACACATATACTTTACAGAGTGAGACAGATGGAAGGGCACAGCGGGCCTCTTCTCCCAGGCTTCCCGTCAGCACTACAGCACGACAGCTGCCCTGGGAAATAAATGTGACTCTGGAGCTCGTCATCCCACCTCCCTCTCAAAGCACATCACGGCAGGCATTGAGCTGTCTACTGCACACAACTGTCACGCCTATCACTAACTTTTAAACTCTCTTCTAGACTCTTTTTATATGCTGTGGAGCTGGAAAAGGAATTACACTACATCAGTTTAAAACTAAACCAAGTGATGCGAAAGCTACAGTAACAATACTGGAGGTAAGACTGATGAGGTGCGATGCTCTAGCAACACTTGTGAGGTACTTACTGCATCTTCTCCTACACACGTCGCCATCTCTGGTTACTTCATTGCTTCCACTGTGCTGGGGACCGAGTGCAGAGTCCTGCAAATGCTAGGCACTGTGCTACATCTCCAGCCAAGAAGCAGCTCTCAGTTCTAACAGGATGACTTCCATGAACCAAGTGCAGCTGAAGGGAGCCCACTGTACCACCCCACACTTACCAAGTGCTTCCTGTAATATGCACGTGGTACACTCACGGGAGTGTAAAAGGGAAGCACGGTCAATGCTTCTTGGTCATGGGGCAGATCTCTAAGGTCACAGGGTAGATCGCCAATAGTTGGAGGTAGAGACAGATGCACATCCCAGGGTCTCACTTCCTTTGGACAGGGGTAAAGTAATAAGATTTTGGGAAAATACTATGTATGAACAACATACATAAAATAATCTCCATTCTAGACTCCAAAATGCCTAGAAAAAATCATATACAACAACTCTGTGGCTAAATACAGAAATTTCACTACCACTTTCAAAAGCAGATTTCATCTGGTTTCTCAACAGCAGTATGTCAAATTTCCTAAAAATAAAAAAGATGGCATATTAAGGCCGTAAGTTGTTTGGAAATTACAGACAAGGGACCTTTGAGAGCCTTCTTGTTGGAAAGTTGTGTGTGACTAGTACTTTAGAAACTGGAGGAAAATGTTACGTTCCTAAACTATATAAGCCCTTCCAGAAGAGCCGTATGATCTGTCCTGTGGGTCAAAACAACACCATATTCAACCACAGCACTCAATCAGCACGTTAATGCTCAATGTACATGTTTAAAACATGAATAAATTGTGCAGTGGTAGCACACACCTTTAATCTTAGCACTTGGGGGGCAGAGGCAGGGCAGCATGGTCTACAAAATGAGTTTCAGGATAGCCAGGGCTACACAGACAAACCCTGTGTTGAACACCTACCCCCAACACATACCGGCCCAAAAAAGTCACCCAGGCTGGCCTTGAACTCCTGGGTTCAAGGGATCCTTCTGCTGTGGTCTCTGGAGCAGCTGGGACTATAGGTACACACCACACCATGCCCAGTAAATGTTACTACCCACCTCCCTCAAAGCAAGGAGGGCCGACTTTTCTTAATGTGGTAATTCACTGCAACGAGACATGACTAATTCTGGCACTAGAGCGCAGAAAGGAGGAGCAGGAGTTACATACCGATTTCAAGACCAGATACATGAAACCCTGGGGGGGGGGGGGGAGTGAAGGTAGTTTGCCTATTCTCCTAAATAGCTCTGAGAAGCAGTATGGACTTTTCCCTGCTGAGCAACTTTAGTATGTCCCCTACATCATCACTGGGTAGGGCGATTTAAATAAGCCTAAGAACCTTCTAGAAAAACATCATACATTTACAATGACTTGGAACATTAAAGTCCTTTTATTACAAAAGTCTGTACAATGAAGTGCCAAACAAACACAGCAATGTTATTATACTGGTGAACATATATATATCTATATAATATTTCTATATAGATATAATTTTTATTTGTACCAAAGTAAAACTCTCACAGGTGCCTAGCTCTACCACCACTGCTAAGCCGTGAGTCACGACAGCACGGCTAGAGTGCCGTCTCCTCACCACTCAGCCCAACTCCCACTAATGACCAAACCATGATGCAGCGGAACTCAGTGAAACCAGTCAGGCTACAGACTTATAAAAATATTGTACTCAAATAGATTTAGCATTATAGAGAAGGAATATATTATTTAACATTTAAATAGTGCACATGGACATTTCTGCATGTGGTATACAAAATAAAACATTCATAAAAATATACAGTGCACATAAAATTACATGTAGCAATCCTATCTGGAGACCAAAAGAAACTAAAAAGTACACCACATGATGGGCTCAAATCAAATGACACATTTTTTGGCATTCTTAATTACTTTCCTAAAATTACATTATCAATGACCTAGCAATATCAAAAGGAACCACACAAACAAGGCTGGATTTAGTGCTTTTTAAAAATCTTCCAACTACACACTCACTACCGCTGGACGTTTCCCTCTCCTCCGAAAAAGGCATTGCGCACACGAGTGAGATGGGAAGAACTAGAGACACTATTTATAAGCGAGCTACCTCATGTTCTTACTGGGTAATAGTGCCAGAAGTTCGAGGTTCATGCTTTCCTCACCTTATTAAAGATGTTGTGAAATTCCATTTGTATGAAACAAACTATTAATATTAAGAAAATCATGCATGAGTCATTACATGCAAAGCATGGGCAAAGTGAAACATTTATCAATTCAAAAGAGCACCAGGGGCGGGGGATGGGAGGTATGAGCCACTCAGATAAAGCCTGACCCACGTCTGTTTTATTAACACAAGTTACTATTCCATAAAAATGATTAGCAGAGTACCTGAAGAAAAGCCATGCAAAGCCAAAGGAAAAGAGATGCTGAGAGTCTGTGACAAGGGGCATACCACCACACATCCTGTGAGCGGCCGGGTGGGAGGGGTCACTTTAGAATGGACATGTACAGCTGCAGTGGTATAGCCCTTGTAAAGAACACATTTACTTAGGTGGAATCACTCTTGTGCCAACTGAGGCCCACGTGATCAAATACACAAACCTGAGCACCATCCAAGTCCCTCCATACTGGCACGGCTATTTTCTCACATTATCTGGAGATGGGTGGGGGACAGCGCAGGATCTGATCCAGACAAGTCACATCATTGCTGGTAGATAGTAACTGAAGTCCTGTAGGCAGCATGTGATGTGGTTCAGCTCTGAGGGATGTGTGCAATGTTTCAAATGACTAGGCAAGGCTGCTCTGTGGTCCACCCACGTTCTCTTCGCTCGGGTGAGACCACGGATTTGCAAACTCTGGCTAAGTACCTATCTGAGCAGGTGTCACTCTGGAATTACACAGGAAGGTGTTCCACACTAGGATTTCAAAATTCAGTTTGGTTTTCTAGGAAAAACAGAATACAGTTGCATATGTCTCATTTATAGGCTTTTCTTTTAAATTTTCAGTCACTCTGTAAGAAAAAGGCAACCGAAGAATTCAGTGTGAAGATTTTCCTCCCAATTTTCTTCAGTAATGAAAAAGAAAAAACAAAATAGTAAGCAAGAAAAGCTTTGTATTTCCAAAGTTCTTGAAGTGAAAAGAATAAAATCTTGTCTTTTGCTAACAGCTGTATCTATAGTAAACAGTGAGGAATCTGCATATCTGCTAAGTGTGGAGAGTCTGCGGAAATGTGGAGAGCAGCCTTCCTTTCCCTACTGAACCACAGACAAGTACACAGGGGATGGGTTCTCTGAGTGCCTGACAGAGTGAACTCAAGTGCGAGCCAAGTACACATGATGAACCTTCAAAGAACACAACTGACTTTATGATGCCAATTTTCAGGGAACATATTTTATATGGATTTTGAAGAGTCTTGTTTGCTGATAAGAACTTCCAGAAGTCTAAGTTTGGCTTTAATTTTCTTGTACTCTTTATATTCCTCAAGCACTGGTACGCGATCCTCTTTCTGGGCATTCCTAGGGAAGATAAAATCTGACTTAAAAGTTGTCCTAGTATGGAGCGTAATATTACAAATTAAGGGTAAAATAAAAGCTGGTACTGGGACTATAGGCATGTGCCACTGCTACCCAGCTACCGTGAATCATTCTACATATTTAGTTAACCACTCCACTAATGGGTGCTTCAGCATCCATCACCTCAAGTATAATTTGTTTTCTTTCAATATAAAGGAACTGCATGGAAAATGCCTTTATAGCTCTTAGATTTTCTTACACATGTTTTTGTGTATACATATGTTGTACACGAGCCAGAGCTGTCTTACCCACCTTGTTTTTTTCCTATTGCCTAAAGCTAACTTGCTGGTGGTTGTTTTTAATCTTTACTCTTGGGGGGGAGGGGAATCTGTCACCCAGCTTCCAAATAAATTGCACACAAGGTCTTATTACTTATAAATGCTTGGCCTTAGCTTGTCTTAAATTATCCCATCTATCTTTTGCCTCTAAGCTTTTACCTTTCTCTATTTCTGCCTATCTTTCTTCTGAGGCTTGTTGCCCTCCTCCTTTTCTCATTCCTTCTTCCTCTTCCAGATTTCTCCTCTTATTTATTCTCTCTGCCTGCCAACCCTGCCTACCCTTTCTCCTGCCTTGCTATTGGCCATTCAACTCTGTATTAGACCAATCAGGTGTTTTAGACAGGCAAAGTAGCACAGCTTCACAGAGTTAAACAAATGCCACATAAAAGAATGCAGCACACCTTCGCATTATTAAACAAAGGTCCACAGCACGAGCTGGCTATCAAGCCCCAGTGATACAGCACTCAGATACCCACCTCAGGTCCACAGAGCAGGCTTCATGGCAGTGAAGTTCACTCCACTGACAGCCATTTCCCCAGTCCTCACATTTATAAATCAGACTTGATAACCCACACAGATGTGAAACTCTACAGTTGTCTCCTGGCTCGATCACTCTTCACTGTGCTTCCACAGCACAAGGTTATCTCACAGAGCCTAAAGCTTTCTAGTTGTTCAGTGAGCCCAGGGATCTTCCTGTCTACACGCCTCCCCAGTCCCCAACTCTGGGGATATAGGTCAGCTATGCAAAGCAGTTAAAGGCATATGGCATACTCTTCAGACCCACATACCTATGTATCTCCAGTGAGTAGCCGGGATAACCCAACAAGCAGTATACTGACAACTTGAGCTTGTTTCAGGATAAAAATTAAGAATCCAGACAGACAATGGTGTTTAATCCCAGCACTCAGGAAGCAGAGGCAGGCAGAGATCTCTGAGTTCCAGGCCAGCCTGGTCTATGTATCAAGTTCCAGACTAGTAATTGCTACATAATGAGATCATCTCAGAGACACAGGTGACTAATATATATCATATCATATCATATCGCTGGGAGCTGGAAATATTGCTCAGTGGTAGAATGCTTGCCTTATGGGTTTGAGCTCCAGCACTGCAAACCAACAAGAATGGCTTTAGACAAACCTTAAAATATTTGATATGCTTACTCCAATTATGACTTTTCCTTGACTTTAATAACAGCAGATTGAGAGCATAAAGGATTGTTATAAAATTGGCTGGGATGATGCACACCTTTTAATCCCAGGAGGCAGAAGCAGTGGAACTCTGAGTTTGAGACCAGTCTGGTCTACATAGTTTTGTGTGTGTGTGTGTGTGTGCGCGCACGCGCGCACATACATATATATTTAATTATACAATATAAAAATAATATATATAATTTTCTTTTTGTGTCTTTGCAGTGCTGGGATTAAACCCCAGAGCTTTGCACATGCTAGGCAAATGCTCTTGCACCAAGCTATAGTCTAAGGGCTAAAACTTATATTTCAGGGCTAACATCCTATAAGCAATGTGTAATTCTTTTTCTTAGTGTGTGGGAACATGAGAGTGCATGTGTCATGTGGAGATAAAAAAAAGACCCTTTAGGAGATGATTCTTTGCTTCCCCTATGTAGGTCCTGGGGATCAAACTGGTAGCCAGCACTGGCTGCAGCAAGCATCAGTACTTGTGTTTTTAATCCCATGTATTCTACTATCTTAACATACATTTTGTGAGGAAAAGGAGAAAGATGTCAGCTTCTACAATGTTTAACAAACCTTCCATTTTGTTGATAAAATGCTTCTTCAAATTCCCGTAATGTTTTACGTAGTTTCTTTTTCTCAGCTCTGGCTTTCCAAAGCTGTTCCAGTAATTCAGGCCTAAAGTTAAAATAGAAGCAAAGCATTACTAAAGGATACAGTTTCTTTATTCTATTAACACTGGTTCTAGTCCTCCCTGCAGGCTTTCCGAAACATACCAATGTCTATACTCCACTACAAATTAAATCACAAAACTGTTCTAGGGCTGTGGAAAAAAACCCAGAGACCCGAAGCCCTCTCCTGGCCTTCGGGGGGCATCAGACACACACATGGTACAGAAACATACACACAGGCAAAGCACCTATACACATAAGTAAGCACCCATACACATAAGCACCGGTAAGTAAAAGTGAATGTGTGTTGAAGAAATGGCTCAGTAGTTACTGCTCTTGCAGAGGACCTGAGTTTGGTTTTCAGCACCCATGTGTAGGCAGCTCAAAATAGCTTGTAACTCCACATCAAGGGGATCACAATGTATCCTTCTGACCTCCAGAGGCACTCAACATATATGTACAAATCCACACAAATATACACATTATTAAATGAAATTTTTTTAAAAAGTACAAAAAAAACCTAACAAGAGTCTTATTTAAAAAGGGGGATGGCTCTTAAAGAACAATATCCAAGTTTGTCTTCTGACTTACAAGTGCACATGAATACACATACACACACACACCTTCCTAATTTTAAGGTGAATTAAGGGTTGAGAACCACTGTCATAAATCCACCTAAAGATAAGCAGGCCAATAAAAAATTCTCATTGGTTCCTATAACTGTTATAAGTTGAGTACATTTTTAAATTGAAATATTTCATAAAGAAATAGGAACAATAGGCTAGGGAGATGGACTCAACAAAGCAGGCTTGATGTATAAGCCTGATGCGTGAGCTTACATCTTTGAACCCCATGTAAAAAGCCAAACAAGGTGCCCCATATCTCTAATTCCAGCACTCTTATGGCAATGCAATGTGGACACACAGCACAAAACAGCAAGAGAAATCACGACACAAAGCAGGGGTGAGAACCAACACTTAAGGCTGTCTTTTGACCTCCAGACCCACGTAGTGGGCAAAGGGTACTCTCTCACACAATTTAGAACAGAAGGTAAAATGACGTCTGGGGATACAGTGTGTCTTCCATACACAAGGCCCTGGGTTCCATCCATGGCAGCACCAGCAGCAGCCCCCACACACATAAAATGGAAGGCAATAGGAACTACAATCTGTATTGTAAATCACACTTATAAAAGTTTCTCACAAGCCGGGCGATGGTGGCGCACGCCTTTAATCCCAGCACTCGGGAGGCAGAGGCAGGCGGATCTCTGTGAGTTCGAGACCAGCCTGATCTACAGAGCTAGTTCCAGGACAGGCTCCAAAGCCACAGAGAAACCCTGTCTCGAAAAACCAAAAAACAAACAAACAAACAAACAAAAAAAAAACCAAAAAGTTTCTCACAAAGCAATTTCTAATGATCTCTTAATATTACTATCTTCTAAGCATTATTCTTGATATGGAAGTTTTATTACTTACATAGAAGCTGCCCGAGTACTCGATAGGCGGAGATCCCGAGCCAGTTTTTCTTGATTTTCTTCAGCATCAGACTCTGAATTTTCCAACGATGACTGTGTGTGTATGGTTGTTGTCAAGATGTCACTCAACTCAGAGGACAGACTGACACCATCTTCCTCTTCTTCCTAAAACAATGACCACGCAGAGCCACCTAGGTCATGACTTCCACTTTCCTGTTAGCAATGTAATTAAAAAATGACTTTTCTACACAATTACCTTGATTTCTTCAAAAAAATGTGCTGTTTCTCCTTCTATGATTGGCTGTAACATCTGACCACGGCGCTTTGTGGAGGGAGATCCCTGTAAAATCAGCAACACCAGTTCCACAGTTCAGACTGAAAGGTGAATGCTGCTTCACACATGGTACATTAACAGACTCACTCAGACCCAAGCAGCCCCCCAGAAAACAAGCAAACAAAACTCAAAACAGGAAAACAAAAACAAAAAAAAATTAGTAAGATTAAAATACTAAAGTAAAACAAAAGTACTCAAAAACATGAAGTGTGTTTTCTGCTGGCCAACTACTTTTTGGTTTTTTGTTGCTTTTTATTTTCTTTTTCTTTTTTTTGAAAAAGCAAGAACATGAAGTTGGGGGTTAGGAGGATGGAGAGGATCTGGGAGGTTAGGGGAATGAACAATCAAAATATAGTCTGAAAATTTTTTCAATAAAATTGAAAAATAAAAGCTGGGCAGTAGTGGTGCACGCCTTTAATTCCAGCACCAGGGAAGCAGAGGCAGGCAGATCTCTGTGAGTTCGAGGCCAGCCTGGTCTACAAGAGTAGGTTCCAGGACAGGTTCCAAAGCAACATAGAGAAACCATGTCTCAAAAAAAAAAAAAGAAAAAGAAAAAAAGAAAGAAAAAAATATATAAACTATTTTCAAAATCTTAGAGCAATCTTTAAAATGTTAAAAAATTCTTTACTAGACTCGCTTTTCTTACACTTTACTTTCATGATATAGTAAGGGTATTAACTGATAGTTCAGAAAAGCCCGGCAGAGCCGGGTGATGGTGGCGCACGCCTTTAATCCCAGCACTCGGGAGGCAGAGGCAGGCGGATCTCTGTGAGTTCGAGACCAGCCTGGTCTACAGAGCGAGTTCCAGGACAGGCTCCAAAGCCACAGAGAAACCCTGTCTCGAAAAACCAAAAAAAAAAAAAAAAAAAAAAAAAAAAGGAAAAGAAAAGCCCGGCAGATTCCCAAGCACACAGTGTAATGTACAACCCTTTGTCTGAGACAGAGTTTCACTAGGTAGCACAGACCGAATATGTGGATTATGAGATCTCCTGCCTCAGCCCTTTCATATGCTATCATTATAGGCATGTGCCACCACACCCAGCTCAAGCATCTTTATTTTGGAGTCTCGGGACCTCATCGGATTCTTCTTTAGAAGCAAAACTAAACTAAATCAAATCCTAAGATATTATTCATCCTAGCATGCAAGATAATCATTAGCCCACTAACAACATGCCAGCATTCCACTTTTAAGATTGCTCTTCAAACTGATGAGGGAGGGGGACTTGTTAAGGGGGAGGGGGAGGGAAATGGGAGGTGGTGGCGGGGAGGAGGCAGAAATCTTTAATAAATAAATAAATTTTTAAAAAAAAGAACATTTTAAGACTGGGTCATGCCAAGTTGCTCTAGCTAGCATCAAATTTGCAATTCTCCAAGAATAGTCCTGACTTGTATCTAAGTATTATAAATTTCATTTTTAGTGTTGGCAGGTTCAATGTCCCAACTACTTAGATGGCTGAGGCCAAAAGATCACATACATACGATCACAACTCAAAATAACCTTAGACAGTACAGCAAGACCCCATTTTAAATGAGCTATTTTCTGTTTGTTTGAGTGCATACCAATACAGATAAAGTATAAGTACAGATGTAAAATATCTTATTCCACTAATTTTGTGTGTGGTTATGTGGTTGTGTGTGAGAGGTGTGGATGTGCCGCAGCATGTGTGTGCAGAGCAGGTCAGATGGCAAGCACCTTTACCTGCTCAACTATCTCTCTGGCCCTGTGAAATTAGCATTGTTTAATTTGATTAATTTAGTTTTGTTTTTTGAGACAGGGTCTGTCTCTGTGTAGCCTTCGCTGTCCTGGAACTCCCTATGTAGACCAGGCTGGCCTTGAACTCAGAGACTACCTGCCTCTAGTGCTAGGATTAAAAGCGGGTGCCAGATACCTGGTAGTTGGCATTATCTTGATAGGTTCTTTCTTTAAAACCCATTTATAGGATCAGCAAGATGGTTCAGTCTCACTGCCAAGCTTAAAAACCTTGAATATGAACCCTGGAAACCTGAATAGCAGGAGAGAACTGATCCCCTAAATCTGTACTCTTAGCATGGTACACATTTACATAAATCAATGTGTAAAACCCGTTTCTATTGTAATGCAGCTAGAGGTACACCTTCATGGTGGTCAGTACAAAAGTATCCATAGACAAGAACTGAAGCAGAGGCTAGGTGAGGTGCACAACATACAAGCACTACTTCTGCCATTTATGTAGGTAAATTTGCATACAAGCACCACCTGGATCTCAGTGTCATCATACTCTAACCCGTGTGTTGTCTGTCAGGATTTAATACCACACGCCTGTAAGTGCTGACTAAGGTGCCGAGAAAATAGTCATAGGCATTTCCTATTCTTTTAAAATTCATTATCTCAACAACTTTTCAGCCTTGGCTATGTATGTCTCAAAAATATTAAGAAAATTTGTTTCATCTCCTTCTTTTCTTAAATATATTTTGTCAAAATGAAGAAATACTCGTGCTAGGCATGGCAATGCATACCTATGACATAATGCAACTTAAAGAGTCCCGCTTGACTGGACTAGTTTGACTGGACTAGTGAGTTCCAAGCCAGTTTTGGCTACAAAGTGAGATTCTGTCTTTAAAAACAAAACCAAACATGTGTTTAATTTACTTACAAGGACAGGAGTAATGCTAGCTCTTGTCAGCATCTGTTTTACAAGCCTGTATCTATCATAGAGAGGCTTAACAATGTGCCTTTCTTCCCTGGTAACCTGAAGCCAAAAAAAAAAAAAAGTGAAGCAAAGTAACCTTACTATTAGAAATCTAGACACCAAAAACAAATAATATGATCCCCTCACCCCAAATTTAATTTTTAAGTTAGTAGGTGATCTCCCAACTCTAGGGAATAGTGCTGGATAAAAGCACTGAAGAGTGCAGACACCAACATGGTCTATACTGCTTAAAGAGAGAGAAAGCAAATGGTCTTATCGGGGGAGGAATTACCGGCCTTCCGTGTTGACTTTCATAGTAAAGCAGGCTTTTCTGCAGAGATGTTTTCTCTTCTATCAAATGATCTTTTGTCATTTTCTAGAATGGGAAAGTACTGGTGTCATTATCTCCTCATTCCCACACTGCGGACGGCGAAACAGACCTGGCTAAGGCTGTCTTTGATTATGGACGTGCAGCTCTACGTTTCAGTTTCCCATACAATTCAAACTTCGTACTAAGTCAATCAATACATTTTTGTGGCTTAATTTATATGTTGTATAAATTAATAATGCCAGTTTGGGTACCTTAGCCACCTTGTGTTTAATACCCCAATCTATAAATCAGTGATACTCCATTCTTCCTCCAAGGTCCAAATTCATTCATGTAAAAGCACTTGTAACGGTGCCTATCTAGCACATAGGAAACTTTCATACTGCTTGACACTTTATAATGTTTCAAAGGTTTTTGTCAAAACAACCATAAATATGGACAGAGAGCTGGCTCAGCATGTTTAAAAGCACTTGACCCACAAGCCTGAGGACCTCAGGTCAATCCAAAGTCAACTGCAGAGCACATGGCAGAAGGAGACAACTCATGACGCTGTCCTTAAGACTTCCCTGTGAGCCGGGTGATGGTGGCGCACGCCTTTAATCCCAGCACTCGGGAGGCAGAGGCAGGCGGATCTCTGTGAGTTCGAGACCAGCCTGGTCTACAGAGCTAGTTCCAGGACAGGCTCCAAAGCCACAGAGAAACCCTGTCTCGAAAAACCAAAAAAAAAAAAAAAAAAAAAAGACTTCCCTGTGAATGCTGTGGCATGCACACCTGCGCCTGCTCACACACTCACTCGCTCACACACACACTTTAAAAAAAAGACTAGTGACTACAGGCAAGGCATCGTGGTCAGAGGCCTATAATCCCAGCATTCTAGAGGCAGAAGCAGGAGAATCAGGAATTTAAGGTCAATGTGGCCTACACAATGAGAGAGAGCCTTTCCCAAAAAACAAGGACTGCTGATGGAACTCAGTGGCACATGTGCCCAGCTTGTGCAAGGGTCCCTGGATTCAATAGGCACAAAAAACAGATGGATGGATGGATGGATGGATGGATGGATGGATGGATGAGACACCAAAGAAAAAGACTAGTGAAGGCAGACACCTCGGGTCTCTACTAAGGAAACCCCTTAGGAATATAGTGTAAAGATCCTATTTGTTGCGGGAGGCCCTTCCGCTCCTCCAGCCTATAGCCGCTGAGATACCAGCCCACTGGGGCGTGGTCTCTCTCCCTTTAAAAAAGCGGCCACTTCCCTCTCCTCTCTCTCTTTACTTCCTGCTTCACCGACTAGACTCCCTTTTCTGGTTGCACAGAGGGCTGTTGTCTGGGACGGTGATCTGTAAGTTTTTTCCCCTTTAAATAAATACCACCCTATTAATCATAATTCCAAACTGGTGTGGCATTGTTTGTGACTTACGCCTTCACCTGGCGCCCAACGTTAGGACCTCTCCTTCCCCCGCTGGGCTGCCGGCCGCGAGTTCGGCTTGGCGTGAGCCCTCCCTTCCTCAGCCACAGCCTGTGCCTTGCAGCGGCCTTGTGGCCTGTGCCTTGTGCGTGGAGCCAGCAGCTTAATATAAATCATCACGCACTGGCTTTTCTTGCTGCAGTTCTTTATATTTTTCTTTTAGACACATCAGATTGACTTCCAGTCCCCACGCACCCTATCGTCTGCCTCCCCACGTGGATTTAAACTCCACAGGCCCGCGTAGTCTCTGCCCACGTGGTTTGCTCTTTTCTGAGTCGTTTTTAAATCTCCCTTGCAAGCGCAGCTCTTAAGTGGCGCGAACCAGAGCACACGGTTGCCGGTTGCCGAAAGCTGCAACCACTCAGGGTGACTCTGTCACATGGAGGCATACACGGCTTCTGGGTTGCTCTTCTCTACCCCTGGATTCTGGGTTTATGGTTCAGTGTACGGAATTGATTTAATTACATTTACTTTGTTGAGCAACTTGCATTTCCCAGTTTTTAACAAATACTAGGTGGACTCTGAAACGACCCTGTTTTCGTCATGACTTGGCAACAGCGCCACCTGCTGGATAATAGGTAATATGGCAGTTTTCGTTTCCAACATGAATTTTACTGTTCTGGTTACCAATACAATGGGTTATATCATGCAAGGTTTATATGACTATGGGGGTAACTTAATTTACTGGTTACTAGGTTTCGGTATTCTTTTGCATATTCTATCATTTAGGAAGATCATGGCACTCCTAAGAACCATACAATCTTTACTAGAAACTCATGCAGGTTAGGAGATTCAGGATTCAAAAGAGACAATAATAAAAAGACTTGAAATAACACCGGATCTAATAGTTCATTTAAACAAAACCTTAGATGGTGATAAAGATTTGAATAGTCCAAGAAAACTGACAGCTGAAGCAGAAAAGGAACTGACAATGATTGAGGAAAAATTACAGGAGGCACATGTGGATAGGGTGAATCCAAATCTTAGCTGCATCCTAGTCATATTGCCTTCCAGAATTTCTCCTACAGGGATTCTAATGCAGAGGGAAGATATTATTTTAGAGTGGATATTTATACCTAATAAACCAAGTAAAAAATTAAAAACTTATGTGGAAAAAGTCTCTGAATTAATTATAAAAGGTAAGCTGAGACTTCGTCAACTAGCAGGTATAGACCCAGCAGAAGTTATGGGAAGACAATGAACCGTGGCAAAGAGCTTGTGCTAATTTTTTGGGAGAAATTAATAGCAACTATCCCAAAAGTTGTAGACTTAACCTTCGAAAATGGGGGAGAGTCTTCTGTTTTGTGTTAATTTCATTGGTTAAATAAAGAGACTGCCCTGGCCCTTTAATAGGACATAAAATTAGGTAGGCGGAGTAAACAGAACAGAATGCTGGGAGAAAGAAGCTGAATCAGAGAGTCGCCATGATTCTCCCACTCCAGACAGACACAGGGTAAGATCTTCCCTGGTAAGCCACCTCGTGGGCTACACAGATTATTAGAAATGGGTTAGATCAATATGTAAGAGCTAGCCAATAAGAGGCTGGAACTAATGGGCCAATCAGTGTTTAAATGAATACAGTTTCCGTGTAATTATTTCGGGTAAAGCTAGCCGTGTGGGCGGCCGGGTGTCGGGGGTGTGCAGCCCCGCCGCCCTCCTTATTACAACACCTATTGAAAGCTCAAAAATGTCCAATTGAAACCTTTGACCTCTATCCTATGACCTCATGTTTCCCTCTATATTGGCTGACATGTTCTTTGCAGTGTAATCCCACCGTCTTTTAATATTCTGAAGGGCACAGCAGGCAGAACTCCCCACGTGTTTGTATACAAATTTTCCTTTTATTCCACAGACTCATCCATTATCTCAATGAACCAATGTTCCACAAGATACCCTTCAACTAGACCAAATAAATTCTACAGCAAACAGTTCTCAGCCTCTTACCAGAGGAAGTTACAAATCACAATCACTAGACAGTCACCCCACAACAAATCACACTGTGGACTCTCCTCATGCAGTAGGCACAGCTGAGTATAGACCCTATAAAAACTGTCACTCCATTTCTAAGTTTGAACTTTTAAATCTAGGATAGTAAATCTGAACCAAGTTAATGTGACCAAACCACTTGCAGCAGGAGGAGACTGCTGTTCTAACAAAAAAAAAAAAAAAAGAAAAGAAAGAAAGAAAGAAAAAGCTGAAGGAGGGGGTAAAAATGACTAATTTAGCCCTGGAACAGGGAAACAAAGACTCATATATTTCCATCATCGGAGAGGTGTATTCTGTTGTCGGTGTGTCTGGGTCCCCTGAGACTATCTCCCCAGCAATCTCACCTCACATATGACTTGGACTGTCTCACAGAGGACTCTGTGGTAATGGGGCCTGCTCACCGGTGCAATGAAATCTTGTCTTAGGGACTGGGGCAGACAGAGTCCTAACCGGATGGCTGCCTTTGGCTTCCATGCACATGGAGAAGCATGGATCCACACATACCTATACCATACATAACAGTAATCATTCCTAAAAAATGTTAATTCATGTAATCCTGCTAACAATGAGATCATCTAGGTTTTTGTTGCCAGTTGTTTGTTTTGTTTTTTGTTTTTTAAACAGAGTGTCACGTGGTCCTGGCTGGGCTCAAGCTCACTATGTAGCTTGAACTCCTGATCCCCCTGCCTCCAATTCTCTAGTACTTGGATTACAGATATGTACCACCATGCCAGGCTTTTGAGTGGTATCTTTTCTTTTTATCTTTTTTGTTTTTGGTTTCTCTGTATAGACCTGTAGCTGTCCTGGAACTCACTCTGCAGACCAGGCTGGTCTTAAATTTAGAGATTCATCTGCCTCTGCCTTCCAAGGGCTAGAATTAAAGATGTGTCCCACCACCACCTGGCAAGATATCTTTTTAAATGGCTAATATCACATTTATATTTTTCATAGGAATGTTGAAGAAAAAAAAAACAACAAGTGGCAGAACCCACATAGTGTATGCCAGCGACCAACAGGCTAATAGCAAAAACTCAGTATATACAGCTACCACTCAGACTCAGCCATTTTATACTCTACACATCAGTATCTTGCCAACAATCTGCAACATGCATTAATACATAGTACTCCAGGTTTTAAAAGCATATTTTGAAGTGGCAGGTCTGAAGAACAGAAAAGTCAGGCTGCACATTCTCTACCCGGCTATGCTAGTTATTTTGTTTCAGGAACTCTTAAAGGTTACCCCCGCCCCGGCAGAGACCACACAGTTCAGCATTACCTTGATATCCTCAGGAAGGTGACGCTCAGCACGGTTTTCCTTCAATCGTTTTGTGATAAGTTCAAGAGTGGCTTCCTTAGACGGCTTCTTCTCTTTCTGAATGACTCTGGGCTCACCTTCATTCTCCTCATCTTCATGGTCTAGAGAAGAGCCAAAACTTTTTGGAAGAGTGTTACTCCGAGGACGTGTCTGAGGTACAAATTCTCCATCAGAGTTTTTGTGTTTTGCATCTAAATTTCAGAAATAAGATGATTAATAATCAGTAACATACATTTCAAAGCCACACATTTAGCATGCAGTATACACATGGCAAGAGAACTATCCTACTTGTCCCTTTAAATAATATTTACAAGCAGCCTACTGCAAAGTATAATACCTTTATAAGCACCAAAGAGAACTAAACAAAACACATTTTTATGGTGTACATACTATTTTTCAAGGAAGGAAAGACAATTCTATTAATAGTTTTAGTTATTTCAACTGCTAAGTGTTACGAAGAAGATAAAAGAGAGGACTGGAGAGATGGTTCAGTTGGGAACGTGTTTGCTGTGCAAGCCTGAAGACTTCAGTTCAGATCCCCAGGAGCAGAGGTGGGAGGCTCTCTGATGCTTGTGCCTAGCCAGGCTAACCATTCAGTGAACTCCAGCTTCAATGAGAGACCCTGTCTTAAATCTGAGCGTGGGCTGGGTTTAATTCCAGCACTAGGGAGGCAAAGGCAGGTGGATCTTTGTTCAAGGCCACCCTGGTCTACACAGTGAGTTCCAGGTCAGTCAGGGCTACACAGAGACACCCTGTCTCAAAGGAAAAAAAAAAGATGATTTTTTTTTTAAATTATTGAGAAAGGTGTTTGACATTGAACTCCAGACTGCACACAAGGAAAATAAAAGTGGGAGTCACAGTGCTAGAGAGACCGTCCTTTGTGGAGGAAGAACAACACGGGATTAACAAAGAAAAGAATGTCTCTAACTGGGCAGTGGTGGCACATGCCTTTAATCCCAGCATTCGGGAGGCTAGCCCGGTCTACAGAGCTCTGGACAGTAAGGGCTACACAGAGAAAATTTGTCTGGAAAAACAAAACAAACAAAAACAAAGAAGGCCTCTCTGAATGGTATCATTCTGGTTGAACATTCCACATTCAACTATACCCAGCACAGAAGACTTAGGGAAAAAGCATTTGTGCCTAATTGAGGCAATAGCCTGGTCAAAAGCCCTAAATTCTTCTAAGATTGAGAACAGAAAATGAGACATTAACAAGATAAAAATCTACAAAGGGCAGTGTGTGCAAGTTCTTAAGAGCTATGGTATAGAGTTTGGACTTAGAAAGGGAAACCCGGTGGGAGAATATAACAAAAAAGTAATGATATTTTTTAAAAGATACTTCTGGTGGTGTGAAAAGGAGGAACTACAGGACAGTAAGAGTGGAAGAGAATTGGAACATTAGGCTGTTTAGTCAATTTAATGTAATAATTAATGGCTAGAAAGTGGTTTAAATAATAAGGAAATGTTTACTAGAACTATAGAGGAAGATAATCCTTTTTAAAAAGGGTTCAAAAAATGATCTTAACCACAAGACTAAAGTCTACAACGGTAGGAACAGTGTCTTAAATCTTAGATATTAAAAATTTCACTAAGTTCAAATGAATCAAACCAATGATCCACATTGTAAGCCCCTTTTCACACAAGTAACGTTTAAAGTAGTGGCAATTATTAAAGCATACTCAGTAAACACAGAATAAATAAAATTTAACTATATTAACACTATACTAAAATATCTGGCATAACTTATGACTTAGGAAAAATTTACAACTTAGCAGTTAATTTTTATAGTTTCAAAAATTGACTAAGCCTAGGAACTAGAGACAGACCGCAGGACCATACACAGTAGGCAAGGAGACCAGCACTGAGCAATGCTCCCAGCTCCTAGTTACCTTAGCTTAGATAAAACTTTACTTCCCACACACACACACAGTACACAAGGACTCCAGCACTGAGCAATGCTCCCAGCTCCTAGTTACATTAGCTTAGATAAAACTTTACTTCCCACCCACACACAAAGATCTTAATGAAGTACCTACCAAAACCCAAAGCAACTTGACATTTACAACATATTTCAGATAAACTGTATAGGATCAATGCACCTATGAATGGAATGTAGGGATCTTTCAAAAGAGTAATAATACTCGCACAAGACAAGAGATTAGGAAGAACACAGCACAAAGATTCCCATTTCTTACTACTGACCTTAAAAATAAAAGGAAATCTATTTTTTTCCCCAAAAAGCTCCAAAATAGATTATTTTTTATTTTGTTTTGTTTTTCAAGATAGGGTTTCTCTGTGTAGCTCAGGCTGTCATGGAGCTTGCTCTATAGACCAGGCTGGCCTTGAACTCAAAGATCTGCCTGCCTCTGCCTCCTAAGTGCTGGTATTAAAGGCGCACACCAGTTCCAAGATTTAAAATTATCAAAAATTATAACGACTTCTTGTATAGAATTATGCTTTTAAAAGATGCAGATTTTCCACAAGACGCACACTTATACCTTTAATCTGCTTCCGTAGCTTTGTAAGCTCTGTCATCCATTTCAGTACCTTCGGATTGGCTGCGATGTCACTGTAGGAGGGCTACAAAGTTATGGAGAAGGATCACTGACATTTGTAATACACAACAGTTACATTAATTCACTCCCCATAGTATTTTATGGTTTCTATATCATAAATTTCATTCAATTCTCACTTTAATCTGTTATTGAGCTTTTCATGGTCAGACAACTGGAAGAAGCCTGGTTTGAAGGTAGTATTTCATTTCTAGGCATTAGACTTCTGACATACAGGTTCTAACCATTAGAAGTACACAATTTCTTCATTTCCTCCCTCCCCTTTTGTTACTTGTGGTTTATCTCAGAGCAGAACTTTGATCTGTTAATGTAAAGAATTGAGTTTAAAAATTCTAAAACGTTGAAAACAAGAACACTGTCCCAGCAATCCAGACCTGAGGACCGGATGGCTCACAGGGGTCTAGGACCACTATTACTTCTCTAGGATCTCGGGTGTGTTCTGAGCACAGAGCTGGAGCACCTGCTCCAAGACCCTCCTCTCTTGGCTATAGTATAAATTTAAACTTGTTACAGGCCACATGACAAACTTACCTTGCTATTTCTTTCCCTTTCAAATTGCTCCTCAAATTGTCTGATTTTTTTCTGAAGTTTCTTGACCAACTGATATGGTGTTCTGTCTTCTCTCTTTTCATCTTTTGAACTAAAGGATGACCTTCGAATTCTGAATTAAAACAACAGGTCAACATGGTGTGTTAAATTTTCAAGTGTAATTTTGTTATAATTTTTATGTAATTTTCAATAATTAATAGCATTACTTATTGTCCTGATGTGTTGCTATTACTAGTAAGGACATCTTAAAAGTGAAGGAAGGACCAGCGCCAAGACTCAGCAGTTTTCCCTCCGATCTTCATATAAACACTGTGGCATGAGCATGTAATACAATAATAATGAAAATAGTAATTTTAAGTGAAATTAAACTTCTAATACTAAAGGAGGTCAATAAACAAATTAGCTACCACATTTGGTAACAAAACGCATCTCAAGAGATGAATTAGCAGGTAAGAGCACTGGCTACTCTTCCAAGAGATCCCAGGTTCAGTTCCTAGCACCTTCTCAGTAGCTTATCATCGTCTGTAATTCCAATCTTGGGGGACCTGACACTTCTGGCCTCTGTAGGCACTGCACTCACACACACAAACCCACACGCAGAAAAACATATATACACATAATTAAAATTGGGGTGGGGAATGTATTTAAATGACCAAGATTTCTTATTGATTCCCTGATGGTCAGTTTAGGCAACTTGACCCAGCCTGTCAGAAGGCTGCCTAAACTGACCATCAGGGAATTATAATAGTAATGACATCAACAATAATAATAAACAATACTGGGAACCCTGTCAAAAAATTTGTATTGTTTATTATTATTGCTGATGTTGTCATTACTATTATTTTATATGTATGGTCTTTGCCTGTATTTTGTTATGCCTATATATCACTGTGTGTTCAGTGTTCTTGGAAGCCAGAAGAGAGCATCAAATCTCCAGGAACTGGAGTTACAGATGGTTGTGAACCACCATGTGGGTGTAGAGAACTGAGCCTGGGTCCTCTGCAAGAGCAGCCAGTACTCAACCACTGAACCATGTCCCAACCCCAAAGAGTTGTAGTTAAGAATGCTGGTTGGAAGGAAGGAAGTGGTGTTGCATACACTTTCCTCACAGAGATTAAAACCTGTGTTAACATTCAATGCTGAGAATAAAAACTCTCCAAAAAAGGACTCATGGGGATAGGAAGCCACACAATCCATGCAGCTCCTAGTAAAGCCTCCAAATCCTATCTTGCATTTCTGAACTTCAGCAGTGCTAACAGTTCACTCTCTCATTCCAGACAGCTCTCTCTTCTCCCCCCCCCCACTCTCTTTCAAGCACCCAGGAGGCAGAGGCAGGCAGATTTCTGAGTTCAAGGCCAGCCTAGTCTACAAAGCAAGTTCTAGGACAGCCAAGGCTGTTACACAGAGAAACCCTGTCTCAAAAAAATTATTTTTAATTATGTGTTTATGTCTGTCTGTATGTGAGCACACCGGTGCATGTCAGACAAAGGCGACAGATCCTCCTGAAGCTTGAGTAACAGGTAAGTTGCCTGGCATGGGTGCTGGAATCCAGCTTTGGTCCTTTGGCAGAGCAGTACATGCGCTCTAGCCCCTACACAAAGGCTCTTTAAAAGCAAACGAAAAAAAGGGCCCTGTTGTGCTTCAATGCGATCATTTCCTATTTAGCATCACTTATAATGATGTTTGCTTGTTGCATTTTTTTCTTACAGAAAATATTCGAAGCTGTATCCTACTATTAGAGCATTTGGAAGTATATGCTATGTTAGCTGCTTAAATTTTTATTTTAGTTTTGTGTATGGTGGGGAGGGGGTATGTACAAGAATTCAGGTGCCTTCAGCAGTCAGAGGGATGAGATCTTCCTGGACATGGGAGTTATGTGTGGTTGTGAGCCACCTGAGTATTGAAAATGAAACTTGGGTCCTCTGCAAGGGCAGTACGCTTCTAAGTTACTAAGTCATCTTTTCAGCCCAATATGGACAAGTGAGTGCAGTGCCCAGAGGCCACAAGAAGTCATCAGACCCTCTGAAGCTGGAGTTACCCATAGCTGTAAGCTGCATAGTGTGAGTGCTCTTAACACCTGATCCATCTCTCTAATCACCCCCACCTCAATGTTGGCTTTTAAAATGATGAAACAAAATACATGTAAATCAGAATATTAAGTCTTGGGATGTAGTTCAGTCAGTACAGTGCACATATATAGGAGTCTTGTGTTTGGTCCTTAACAATAGAAACCAGGCACAGTATGCATCTCGGTAGTCTGGAGCTACTTGGGCTAAACAAAACCCTGTTTATAAATAAACAAATAATAATCACAAACACAGTGATATGAAGGCATAACAAAAATAGGTTATAACTTCATAATTTATGAATTGTTTTTATTGACCAGAGTACTTGTCTGCAGTCATTCTAACTGTGAAAATATTTTCAAGCACTTATAAAACTTGAATTTTATTCTTAGAAAGTTAACCTAAAAGTATCTTGCCATACTGCTGGGCTATTGGGGCTGCTGCCTCAGCAGTTTTTCAATACGGCAGAAAAGGTTTGCTTGCAGGCATCGCGTGTTTTTAGTGTCTGCCCCAGTTCTTTATATGACTAGACTGTAAAATGCTAATCAACCCAATTATAAAATGGGGCACTGAACTGAACAGAGAATTCTCAACAGAAGAAGTTCAAATGGCCAAAAGACACTTAAGGTCATGCTCAACTTCCTTAGCGATCAGGGAAATGCAAATCAAGACAACTTTAATTTACCATCTTACACCTGTCAGAATGGCTAAAATAAAAAACACCAATGATAGCCTTTGCTGGAGAGGTTGTGGAGAAAGGGGTACACTCATCCATTGCTGGTGGGAATGCAAACTTGTGCAACCACTTTGGAAAGCAGTGTGGCGGTTTCTCAGGAAATTCGGGATCAACCTACCCCTGGACCCAGCAATACCACTCTTGGGAATATACCCAAGAGATGCCCTATCATACAACAAAAGTATATGCTCAACTATGTTCATAGCAGCATTGTTTGTAATAGCCAGAACCTGGAAACAACCTAGATGCCCTTCAATGGAAGAATGGATGAAGAAAGTATGGAATATATACATATTAGAGTACTACTCAGCAGTAAAAAACAATGACTTCTTGAATTTTGCATGCAAATGTACGGAAATAGAAAACACTATCCTGAGTGAGGTAAGGCAGACCCAAAAAGAGGAACATGGGATGTACTCACTCATAATTGGTTTCTAGCCATAAATAAAGGACATTGAGCCTATAATTTGTGATCCTAGAGAAGCTAAATAAGAAGGTGAACCCAAAGAAAAACATATAGGCATCCTCCTGGATGTTAACCTTCATCAGGCGATGAAAGGAGACAGAGACAGAGACCCACATTGGAGCACCAGACTGAAATCCCAAGGTCCAAATCAGGAGCAGAAAGAGAGAGAGCACGAGCAAGGAACTCAGGACCGCCATGAGGGGTGCACCCTCACACTGAGACAATAGGGATGTTCTATCGGGAACTCACTAAGGCCAGCTGGCCTGGGTCTGAAAAAGCCTGGGATAAAACCGGACTCGCTGAACATAGCAGACAATAAGGACTACTGAGAACTCAAGAACAATGGCACTGGGTTTTGATCCTACTGCACCTACTGGCTTTGTGGGAGCCTAGGCAGTTTGGACGCTCACCTAACTAGACCTGGAAGGAGGTGGGTGGTCCTTGGACTTCCCACAGGGCAGAGAACCCTGATTGCTCTTTGGGCTGATGAGGGAGAGGGACTTTATTGGAGGAGGGGAAGGGAAATGGGAGGCGGTGGCGGGGAGGAGGCAGAAATCTTTAATAAATAAATAAATTTAAAAAAAAAGTTGCCTAGAACGGCAAGATGATCAAAAGATAAAGGAGCTTGCTGTGCAGGACTAATGACCTGTGTTCGATACCTGGAACCCACGTAAGGAGGAGGAGAGCAGACTGCCTACAAAGCTGTCCCCTTACTTCACATGCACGCTATGGCACGAGAGAGCCCCATCCCCAGCACATCACACACAGCCATGGGAACAATAATATATTTTAAACTTATCTGAATAAAAGTAATCAAAGTTTCAATTTTCAATAGCAAACTTAATTTGTCAAACATGAACGACAAGCAGCAACTCAAGGACACCTGCTAAGAAAGCCTGTTGTTCTTTCCTCTATTATTTCATGAAGTGCTGTGTTTGTGTTCTTAGCAAAATCTGGCTCTTGACCCTGTTCCAACTCCATAAACTGAAAAAGCATTATAGCTTCAATCTGGAAGACAGACATTGCTGTCTTGGAACTGATGAACCAATATTTCCTCTTATGTGAATTTTCCTTATGCTTCTGCCACAGCTTGAACATTTCTCAGATTATGCTGTTGTTTTGTTTTTGAACGAACTCTCTCTCTCCTCTCTCTCTCTCTCTCTCACACACACACACACACACACACACACACACACACACACACAGAAAGAGTACAGAGGAGGTCAGAGACTAACTAGGCAGCAGGTACCCTGGCCCACTCAGTGGCATTTCAGCTCCCTCTGGGAATAAGGTGCATTCTATGATGCTACAAGAGGATGCCAACACCACTATCTCCCTCCTACTTCCAGGACAGTTGAGGAACCCAATTAAAATTAAGTTTCAATTAGAATAATGGGAACTAGTCAGCTTCTCCCCTTCAGAGTCTTGCATTCCAATTATGAATAAATAAATGAATGAGGACTGAACCATGAAGAAGTGCCTACAGTCTAACAGTAAACCCCAAGTACCACATAAACCTCAATAAATTCAAAATGCAACAACTAGGGAATTACAAAACATGCTCCGGGAATAGGGACAGCAGCTTTAAACTACAGGCCTAGCAGTACCTGTGTACAGAATAAGAACTGCCTCGCAAATACATGACATCACGTACCTAGTGAAGGAAAGGGCCTTGGACGAGAAATCCAGTGTTTCTGGATCATGGAGGAAACGCTGGCTTTGTCCAAAATCTAAACTACGATGTGATAACACTGGAGGACAGTCCTCTCCCAGGGGATGGTGAGTCATCCTTGCAGCCTGTGGAGACAGCTGAGCTTCTCCAGACTCTGAGTCCTCCTGCCAAGACTTAAATGCAGGAAACGGCTCTGTGAAACAAAATACAAGGGCAGAATTAGGAGTGTCTTGAGTCTACAACATTATCTAGTGGGTTCATTTTATATATGTTTTGTTTATTAATATACACACATATATATCTATATACTGGAAAACATCAATGCAAGTGACACTACAGCATATTCATAATGCTTGCTGGGGTTTAGAAATATCCAAGCTTCATTCTTGATAGCCTCTCATTAAGAGATTCACCTTAAATGCCTGAACCCAGTAACAAACCAAGAAAACACACTATTAAGTTTCTTAAATTTAATTCTAAAGATGTTATTCAATATAATCCTAACTCAATAGTCTAAAGCTGTTACACAGAAAAACACTTTTTCAATACAAGTCTTAGAAACAGTGAACACTCAACATTCACTGGGTGTCTGAACTCTCTCATTATCAGATGGTATGTCTGGCTATGTTAAAATATGAAAGTTTTCCCCACACTACACAGAACTAAGAAATGGAAGTTAACACTGTAAAAATTCTAATATTTGGAGTGAGGAACCAACTTACCCTATTCACAATATGTAAAATAATATGAAAAAATGTTAGCAGTAGACATCAAAACAGTGATAATTACTTTCTGTTATGAGGTTCCTATAAACAGGATACACACACACACTTTAATCCCACAACAGTATTTAAGTGAGAATCAAACAGCAGTGGTCCTCCTTAAGCACATTTATTTCATCATCGCCATCCTGTATACTCTCCACTCAAGCCATGGTAATACAGCTTATGCCTCTGCTCACATACACCATCTACAAATAGATGCCCAATACAACACTAACTTTAAACATCCTGGAGTGTGGGAGAGGAAGGGCTTCTTAGCTATATATTAGACTTAGAACTAAAATTTTAAATCTTGATGATACTGCTATTGTAAAATGCAAAACCTAATGGAACAATGAATTAGCATATCAAAATTTTAAGTTGTCCTTTTGACAATAATTAAGACAACCACTTCAGCAATGTCGTTTAATGCTATGTAGCAGCCATTTAAAGCATTATCTTTTAACAGTTTTTAGAAAATGACTTAGCTTGCTTTTGAAACCTAGATCAGTTTGGTGACTAACCCTCAACAAACTCGCAATACAGTGATTTCAACCCTTGTACCTGTGTTCCAGCAAATGCACTAATAATGAACATTGAGAAATTACCACTAACAAAACTAACAAAAACATTTTTTTTCTGAGCTTTTAACACAAGTTTTCCTAAGATTTGGGGACAGCAGGAGAAGGGCTAATGAAAAGACAGACAAAGTGACCCACAAAAAGGAAAAAAAACTAAACTATGGTGAACCATACTTACCCTCCCCATCTCTAAACTAAACTATGGTGAACCATACTTACCCTCCCCATCTCTAAACCAAACTATGGTGAACCATACTTACCCTCCCCATCTCTAAACTAAACTATGGTGAACCATACTTACCCTCCCCATCTCTCTGCAGATGCATTGTTTTGAAATCAATGAGGGGGAAAGTGATAAGGCATGATGCTAATAAAATGGAAAAAATGGCAAAAAACACTACAGTGAACACACAGCACAGGCAGAACAAACCATACACATAACACAAAGCCAAGGATACCAAAAACATTTCCCTAAGACCAGTTAGGCATTCTGCTCAAAAACATTGTGCAAAGAAATTACTAACCAAACTTTAGCAAATATACATTTATATTTCATCAAGTAAGGCAAACCCAAAAATGGCTGTTATTAAATCTCAGAATCAGGATGAAGAACCGAGCCATCTTAGTCAGGTACACTTTGAAACCTTTCACTAAGACTGACAGAAAGAAAACAACTCTCTTAAAAGGCTTAGGATGCCGGGCAGTGGCACTTGGGAGGCTGGAGGCAGGTGAATCTGTGGGAGTGTGAGGCCAGCCTGGTCTACAGAGCAAGTGCCAGAAAAGGCACCAAAGGTACAGGGAAATCCTGTCTTGAAGCCCACCCCAACACCCCCAAAAAATAAGTAAATAAAAGGCTGTGGGTATCATTAAGTGATGGAGTGCTTCTTCGTTCTGTCCCCAGGACCAAAAGGGGCAAGTAACAAAAATCTCCCTTTGTTATGCATTATGCTCCTTAAGAGACTTACTACTGAGGGAGAGACGATGTCCACCATTAAGACATTTTGAGCAGCTACCACAAATTCACATTGGTTGTGATAGACATGTGCAACCTGCTTGCTGACTATGCTCTGTTAACTATCCTGTGAGAAAAACAAAACCCCACTTACTAGGGAATAGAGAGAAGGGCCAGTTTGTGGAGTCATCCCCATTTTTCTACCAGACTCACAGCAAACAAACAAAATTGTTTATAGATTTCAAAGTACACAAAGCTAAAAAAAATTTAAGTTTTTTTTTTAATATTCCAACACCTAATTGCAGAAAATCAATATTCACAGTTGTGGCAAAGTTAGAACAACATGACTAATAACAACCATTCTCTCCCAAGGTAGGAAGTCATTCATCTATCCACTGGCACTGAGTTTCTGGAAATGAGAAAGGGAACTGCATGGATTTATCATGACGATGAGTCGGATGGATAATGAAGCAGCCCATGCAAACAACAGCAGGGCTTTTTCCTTTCTTCTAACAAGTTATATCTGAATTCTGACAGAGGGAAATACCCAGTATCAGGTTCTCTTTGAGAACCTCCAGAGAGCTAGAGCTAGAGAACCAGTCTCTCCAATGGAAAATGCTCATTCTTCCATGTTTAAGGTAGGCCAGCGCCTCCAGGCGGAGATCATGAGTGGTTATTTATTTGCATCTCCTACTAGAAGAGACAAAAGGGTTTCACCAATACCCTACCCTCATGTTCAGAGACTCCTTTCCTACCATGGTTCCTAAAGGTGCTCTTTTAGCCACCAATCCTTTGAAGTAATGGACATGTGATCTTCACCACCACCAGTATGCTAACTTTTCCTAACTCAGGGAGCTTCTTTAAAGGTTCTGAATAAGTCAAACGGAAACCAACTAACTTCCTGATATAGTTTAAGTTAAGGTTCACAATCAGAGACCTAGAACTGGTGGGTAGGGGAGGAGAACACTAAAAATTGGCACAAAGTTTTTTAAAATGACTGGACTTGGGATTAAAAACTAAGAACAGCCGGGCGGTGGTGGCGCACGCCTTTAATCCCAGCACTCGGGAGGCAGAGGCAGGCGGATCTCTGTGAGTTCGAGGCCAGCCTGGTCTACAAGAGCTAGTTCCAGGACAGGAACCAAAAGCTACGGAGAAACCCTGTCTTGAAAAAAATCAAAAAAAAAAAAAACCTAAGAACAAAAACCTACATTGAAACTATGGTCAGGCGGCAAGAGGAACCCAGGACATTGGCACCGCAGTTCCTTTGGTTATTGCTACTGTATGTCATCGAGTAACTTGCCAAAAGACAGTCTCAGGAGTCTATCCACATGATCAAAGACTGTGCTTAGGAATCCTGAGTTGTCTCACTTTCTCTTTACTAGGATGATTTATGACTCATAAAGATTCATGGATCTAAACTGGTTGCTTATTTTCCCCCTTCTCCAGTATTTTAAAGTGGATGAAATACAGCAAGGGTAAAGGCACGCCAACAGATCTGCCTGACACCTGCCACACTCCTGTGCATTATCCATGCCTGTCATTAGCCAGCTTCTTTTTACCAACTTCAAAGTAAACTGTAGAGTCTGCTATTTTTCCCAAGAAAAAACTTTAGTGTGTAAATAATTCACTTAAATTAAGCCCAATATTTGCTTACAACTTATGATTTTTCTTAATGTAAAAACCTTTAGCAAAAATTCAGTGGACATTTTCTAAATTTAAAATATGATTATGTCCGCCGGGCAGTTGTGGCGCAAGCCTTTAATCCCAGCACTTGGGAGACAGAGGCAGGTGGATCTCTGTGAGTTCAAGGCCAGCCTGTTCTACGAGAGCTAGTTCCAGGACAGGCTCCAAAGAAAAGCTACAGAGAAACCCTGTCTCAAAAAACAAAAACAAAAAGCAAACAAACATATGCCCAAAAACAATATGCCCATGTTGCTTGTTAAATTTAAACTTCATTCCTTTGTGCAAACTATTTATGGTCTCCCCCAAATACTTTTGTAATCTACAATCTTTGCTTAGAAGTACCCTTGAAGAATTAAAAAAACAAAAACATATTACTGATGATTATAAGGTAGCAAAACACCCTGTTTAAACTGGTAGAATCATCAAAACTCTAATACACTGAACCTTCACAGACCAAGAAATGGTATCTGATTTAATAATTAACCAAATCTATTCTAGGTTGATTTTTATTTTTAGTCAATTTTGATTTTTCTTTAAAGGAGGTACCTCAGGAAGTGGCTCAGAGATGGTCTCATGATACAGCCCAGGCTGATCCCCCAGATGCTGGGATTATAGGCATGCACCATTCCAGCGGTAGCACTCATTCTCAAAGCAAATCATATAGTTACATTCTACTCATGAAAGAACTGTCCTTCTATTATGCTTGAGGAAACAAAACAAAACCCCAAGAAGCAAAAACAACAAACTTCATTTGTTTTCAAGAGAAAACAGAGCAGGATGACAAACACTGTCCAGAACTGGGCAGGTATCTCATCACTGCTTCGGGTTACTTCAATTACAAATAAAGGTATGAGGAAATTAAAATGTTTAGGTAGAATTACCTTCCCACTTATCACCATCAGAAACATTCTTCAGATCTAAATGAGCGACCTGCACACATGCTGCTTCTCCTTGAACACCACCACTCTGACCGGCTGTTACTGACTCCGTGTTGGCATTCAAATCATGGATCTTGCAACTAGAATCCTGCATTTTAAAATAAAGAATGCATTTCATAGCCATGACGCTTTTCATAACTGGCTCAGACACAATCAGCACAAAAATATCCCTATGTATTTTTCATTTCTTTATTGTGCCAACAAAGCTAACTGTTTCTGTGCGCGTGTGTGCGTGCGTGCGTGTGTGTGTGTGTGTGTGTGTATAGATGCTTGCTTGCACTTATGTTATGCACACCATGTGTGTGCCTAGTGCCAAAGGAGGCCAGAAGATGGCATCAGATCCCTCAAGACTGGACTAACAGATGAGTCACCAAGTGTGGGAGCTGAGAATCAAAGCCAGGTCCTATGGAAGAGGAGTCAGTGTTTTGTTTCTTTTTTTAAGGTTTGTATAAATTTTATGTCTATGAGTGCTTTGTTGGCTTATATGCCTGCACACCAGAAGACAGCATCAGATTCCATTATAGATGGCTGCAAGCAACCATGTGGTTTCCGGGAATTGAATTCAGGACCTCTAGAAGAGCACAGCAGCCAGAGCAGCCAACTCTCCAGGTACAAGCAAACTACATTCAAACATAAATTTGCATTTTATAATGTCTTACTAGGAAACCAAGTTTCAATTTCAAATTTAGTAAAGTACTTTCATAACCCACAATCTTGTAACCATATTAATTGCTGCTTAACTAAAACACACATAACTCTTAACTTATCCAATGCAAGAATTAGGGGCTAGACACAACTGATAGATGAATCTAAGCAACATTTTTAAGAACTATAATATAAAGATAGTTCTTACCAGAATCAAGTGTGGCAATTTATCACTGTCACATAACAAATATTCCTTCCTAAAAACACAAGTATAGTTATTAGCATCTGAAGACTAAAAAAGGTAACTGCTATTATTACCTCTTACCTAAACTCTTCTCTTCCCCAATATAGTTAGCATTTAAAATTGAGGAGGAAAGTGACAACGGGGCATATGCCCATTCTTTGGAGCCCTATATCTGAAAATCACACAATACTGAAAAGATCCACAGACTCACTTCAGGTTTGGAAAAATTAAATGATAATCTTCACCACTCCCTCCCCACAAAAGACCACCCCCAAAAGAAAAATCTCTATGAAAGGAAAATTAAAAACCGCAATACAGAAGCCAGTGAGAAGTGATACATATTGGAAAAAGAATCCATAAAATATTTAAAAAATATTAAAAATTCTGACCAACAGGTTTATTCTCTCCATGGATCTGTCCTTGAAGGCTATCACAGGAAGTTATTGCTTCTTAAACCCTCACCACAAAACCTAACACATATTAAAAAAAAAAAAGAAAAGAAAAGAAAGAAAAACTTCATTCACCTTTTACTTCTCCAGAAAAATGAAACCCTGTGTAAGAGCCATATTGTAAGCTGTCACAAATGATTCCTACCCTCTTAGGTCAGTCAACAAAGCATCTGTTATTAATAGGGTAAGCTATCAATACGTCCACAGTGGGAAATGTTCCTCAAAGAGATCTGTGCCAATTTGTTATAAATATACCTAAGTGCTACTTTTAAGTGGTCATAATAGGTGGTGAGCACTTGAAAGACAAGCCTTGATTTAAACACAAGAAGCTAATTCCTTATGTAAGTATCTTATCTTTGGTGGCCTGAGAAATAAACTTAATTCTCTGACAAGCTTTTTTTTTGGGGGGGGGGGGGGATCAAGACAGGGTTTCACTGTGTAGCCCTGGCTGACCTGGAACTCACTCTGTTGACCAGGCTGGCTCAAACTCAAAGATCCGCCTGCCTGTTTCTCAAGTGCTGGGATTAAAGGTGTGCACCATCATCGCTTCAAGGCTTTCTTTTATTTAGGGTTGGAGCAAATTGTAGGATAAGATAGATTCACTCTCAAAGACTCACTCTGAAAGACCTAATTATCTACATCTGAAAAGCATAAGTATTAACCATGTAAAATGTAATCCACCTAACCAAAGTACTCTAGATCTACAAGTTCGCTAACCTAGACATGAGTTGAAGAGCTTTCCAAAAAGACTGGGTCCTCACTAAATGAGGACTTATTGTTCTACCATATCCCGATGTCATCACTCTGGGGATGCCTGTTAATCTTATATCTTCAGCCCATAGCTCCAAAATTCCCTGGGCTGGAAGAGGATCAGTCCTGCCTCCTGAAAGGAAGCACAAGGAGCTCCGTAAGCAGGAAATCTGTGGACCTTCAGAGTATGAGGACACTCCAGAGACATGGCTCCAAAGAATTTACTTACCCACCAACAGCAGGTTCCTACTCACAATTAAGATACAACATCATTAACAAAACTTTACCTGACCAATAGGCTATCAGTAAATCAGTAATGTTCTATCAGAACACTCATTCCTGTCGTTTTCAGAACATCAAATCAGCTCTGCTAAGAATGGAAGGATCTACTTCTTGGCAGCTTGGGACAGAAGGCTGCAAAGGGCAGCAAGAGCCAAGTGACTGGAAAAGCTTCTGTCCACTGACTCTGTTCTTCCTCAAGGGACTCTGCATCTGATGCTTCTCATTATCTCAGACATCTTATAGGGATGGGGGTGAACAAGCACCAAATAGGCAAGGTTATTCTTGGACACAGTAACAGGGACAAAGAAACTATCCCACACTTATTCACTGAAGCAAGTACTCTATAGATTTTTGGTTGGCTGGCCACAGTTCCCAAACTATCAGTTAACTCACGGACATGTCCATTTACAATATCGATAAATTCTAATTTTTTTATAAATCACAGTTTTTGTCGTCTCTAAGAAGGTTGTGTTCTCTCTGAATAATGCATGTTCATAATTGATGGTGGTCTGCAGCTGGGAAAGTCTACTTGTGCCTCTTAATATACTCTAATCTACCACTAAAGTAAAAAGCCTGATTTTCTTTCTAAGATTACCCAAACTGTGTGCTATCATGGATATATTCACCCAAAGTTCTCAACCAAAAACCTGTGAAAAGGTTTTTCCAATTCTCAAAACGATTTATCAGCAACAATAAAGGCTTACCTCTCGTGACGGCCATCTTCACTGTCTCCGTGGTCACTACAAGGCTCTAACAGTACACCTGCAGACTAACAGAAGAACACGGCTGTCTACCAGCTCCCACAGTCACAGTAGAGAGACGTCAGATGACAAATTAGCAACCATCCCTTCTCCACTACCCTAACGGTCTTAGGAACTGGCAGTTTCTGTACACAAAACTTAACCTCCCTCAAACCTGAACTTTTTTCTCCCCTTTTTCTTTGTTTGTTTATTTTTTATTTTTCAAGACAGGGTTGCTCTATAGCTTTGGTGCCTGTCCTGGAACTCACTCTGTATACCAGGCTGGCCTCAAACTCAGAGATCCCCCTGCCTCCCGAGCACTGGGATTAAAGGTGTGCCCCACCATCTCTCGACCCAAAATCTGAAATATATTAAGTACTTGCAGGGACCTTGTTTTTCTGTCTCCTTGTAAGCAATAATCACTAGGATCTTCTTTCCTTAGAATTCTCTCCTCCAAAAATTATGGTGCTGGTTCAGTGGTAGAGCATTTGCCTAGCAGAGCAAGGGCTCTGGCTTGGGTACATTTGAAATAGCAACTTCTTTCCATACTGGAGGCAGGGGGTAGGGGGCACTTGAGCCTCAGAAGCACAGAAGAATCTACTTTTCAATGAATTTACAAATTAAAAATGATCCAAAAGAACTAGGTGTGGGGGCACATGCCTATAATCTCAACACTCAAGAATTAGAGGCAGAAAGACTCAAAATCTGAGCTCCTCCTGCTCTACAGACCAGCCTAAGCTACATGAAGGACCAAGTCTCCAAAGTATAATACAACTCCTTTCAACATTACAACGTGCATAAACATTTTCATATTCTTGATAATCTGCAAAATCAACAAAAACTTCAATTCTTAGACTCTTCTTAAATTCTTAATTTTTAAATTCGTATTAGTATGTGTTTGTATGACACACACACGACAGCACATATGTAAAGATCAGAGGACAAATTTTAGGAACTGTGTTTCTCCCTCCACTGTGGGTTATGTGGACTGAAATCGACAGGCTTGTGTGGCAAGTACTTTTATCCACTGACCATCTTGGCAACCTTCTTAGATTCTTAAGAATCCATTTTGTTTGGCATGAAAAGTGCCTGACTGTGTGAAAAAACTAAATTTCCATGAGGCTGAACTGTTTCCTACTCTCTAATCCAATTCACTCTACAGCAGCATACTAAATACAAAAGCAAATATGAAAATCCTCTAAGCAGGCATTAATTATATTTATAAACATAAAACAATGCAACCTCCCAAATTAAAACATTTAATGAGAAGTTATTTTTTAAAAAAGTGGGGTCTGGGGGAACAGGTTAGCTAACAGAGTGCTTCTCTGCAAGCGTAAAAAGGCCAGGCCCAGCAGTGCACATCTACAAGCCCAGCAATGGGAAGGCTGAGACAAGAGGATCCGCTGGGCTAATCAGCCAGCAAATCTACCAAAGCGGCAAGCCTCAGGCTCAGCAAAAGACTGTCTCAAAAAATAAGGCAGAGAATAATGAGGAAAGATGATGCCAACCTTTGGCCTCCGCGTACATTTGCACACATGTGCACCCACACACTTGGATGGATGCATGGATGCAAACATAATGGAACCCATAGTCCTAACTATCCAGGGGACTATACCAAGCCCAAGCTGAACATAAATTCAAGGTAAACTGGGCAACATACTGAGATCTTACTTCAAAGAAGAAGTGAGGGAGGGGAAAACAACCCTATTAATATTATGGGGGGGTTGGGAGCTGGAGAGGTGCCTCAGTGGTTAGCTCTTGCTGCTACTGCAAAAAAAAGAAAGAAGGAAAGAAGGAAAGAAAGAAAGAAAAAAAGAAAATAGAAAAGAAAAAATGGGGTTCAATTTCCAGCACCCATACGGTAGTTCACAACTCTAACTTGAGTTCCAGGGTATTTGTCGCCCTCTTCTGGCCTCCAAGAGCACTACATACACATCATGCATATACATACATACATGCAGGCAGACAGCATACACATAAACACCCATACACATAAAATAAAAATAAAATGAAAATATTATGAATAAATTTATTCTTAATAAATTATTTTAAAACTAGTCAATTTTTACTAGTATAATAAATACTGATATACTCATATTTAAAAAATTATCTCAACAAAAAAATGTTTCAACAAGTTTTAAGAGATAAATAAACTCAGTGTGAAAACCAATGATCTAAAAATCAAGTGTTATCATGAAAGTAGATATACATTCTCAAAAGTTTCTAGGTCATAGGCTTATGTATTAGTTCAAAGCCTGAAGAATCAGGACAAGGGCTGGAGAGATGGCTCAGCGGTTAAGAGCACTGACTGCTTTTCCAGAGGACCCGGGTTCGATTCCCAGCACCCACATGGCAGCTCACAACTGTCTGAAAATGCAGTTCCATGAGATCTGACACCTTCACACCAACAAACATAATAAAGTTAAATAAAAAAAAAGTTTAAAAAAAAAAAAAGAATCAGGACAAGTCAAGACCTAGAGCTGACAGGCCCCTGCTAAGAAGTGTAAACTCACAGGCAGGTCTCAGCAGGGTGGGAAAATAAATCCAAATCTAAGATAGAAGAGAAACAGCTGCAAGCCTCAGAAGCCCCATTCCATAGCATACATCAGGGATGAGAGAAGAAGATGAACTGTCCCCCTTTCCCTGAAGTTCCTGACTCCATCCCCACCCCTAACCAGGCATGCATCCTGTAGCAGCCCAGTCCTTCCTTTTGCTACCACTGCACATCCCACTGGAGTGCCCACACAAAACAAGATCCTGTTCCTTCCACCTTAGTCTGGCCTCACACCTATCTCTCAATCCAGCTAGCTCTCTGCTTCCCCACCACTAGGCACATGAAAAGAAATCAGTATTTTATGTGCCTTAGTTTTTAAGACAGAATTTAAAAACTAAACTTTGCTGGGCATAGTGGCATATGTCTTTATCCCAGCACTCGGGAAGCAGAGGCAGGCAGACCTCTGTGAGTTTGAGACCAGCCTGGTCTGCAGAGTGAGTTCCAGGATAGTCAGAGCACACAGTTAAGCAAACTATCCCACCACCAAATCTTAATCTATACTTTCACTTACCTTGAAATAACAGAGACAATACAAAGATTAACAGAAGTAATATCCATATGTCCTATAGCCATATTTTTTTTTAAAAAAATTCCTTTCTTTCTTTGAGACAAGGCCTAACCTACACTAGAGCCTTCAAATGAAAAGGTTCCTGTTTCAAGAGTGCTAGATTGCAGGAATGAGTTAAGAAAGAATGGGAGGCAGAAGCAGGAGGATTTCTGGGTTCAAGGCCAGTTTGGTCTACAGAGTGAGTTCCAGGTCAGCAAGGGCTACACAGAGAAACTCTGTCCCAAAAATATTTTTAAGAAGGGAAAGAGTGAGGAATAAAACAACTCCTGGCAATTTTATACAGAGATGTAGCTAAACTATAAAGCTTCTTCCTTGAACATGGGGAATGGAGAAGGAGTCTAAAATGTTTTATCCTGGTGCTGGAGAGATGGCTCAGTGGTTAAGAGCACCGGATACTCTTTCAATGGGCTAGGGCTCAATTCCCAGCACACACAGGGCAGCTTACATTGTGGGATATTATTTTAAGGTGTGTTGTTTTTGTTTACGCTGCATTTGTTTAACTCTGTGAAGCTGTGATTCTTTGCTTGCCTAAAACACGTGATTGGTCTAAAAAAAAACTGAGTGGCCCAAAAGAAAGGCAAGATGAAGGATAGGCGGGGCAGACAGAGTATAAATAGGAGAAATCCAGAAGAGGAGGGAGCACTGAGAGGAGATGAGAACACCAGCAAGCCATGGGGAGGGAAATAAAGTAAGATATACAGAAATAGAGAAAAACAAAAGCTCAGAGGCAAAATGTAGACAGGATAATTTAAGGTAGGACAAGCTGGCTAGAAGCAGGCCAAGCTAAGATCAGGCACTCATAACTAAAAATAACTCTCAGTGTGTGATTTATTTGGAAGCTGAGTAGCAGGCCCCCCCCAGAAAAGCAAAGAGTAAACATCACACAACACTTTGGCATTCCAACATGGGCCTGAATTTCCATGTAGGACCTCAGAAAGCTGAAAATAAAAAATAAAGACACTATTCCTTTAAGAGGAGCTGCTGCTGTTTAGCAGGCAGTGCTAAATAGAAACTAGAAACTGCAAGCTAAGCAAAAACTGCTTGTGTTTTCCACAACTCCTACCAGGGCACAAGCTTTGGGCTTGGCTTTCACAACCCAATCTGAGAAGTGGGCAGAGCCAGCTGCAAGAGCATGCTGAGGTTCCAGGTGTAGCTTAACAGTCTGAAGTTTGTTCCTGTGATCAAAAAAGGCTAAAAGAGATGCAGTAGGGCTGGAGAGATGGCTCAGTGGTTAAGAGCTTTGCCTGCTCTTCCAAAGGTCCTGAGTTCAATTCCCAGCAACCACATGTGCTCACAACCATCTGTAATGAGATTTGGTGCCCTCTTCTGGCCTGCAGGGATGCATGCAGGCTGAACACTGAATACATAATAAATAAATAAATCTTTAAAAAAAAAAGAGAGAGAGAGATGCAGTAAAAGAGGTCAGACAGAAAAAAAAACCTCTTAACAGGTTCCAATGTGTTTTATACTGGGCGTAGGCTTAAGAAAGAAAATGGGTATAGGTCATCATAGATTAAAAATAATAAAGTCTTTAAAGAAAGAGTAAAAGTAATGTAAAAGAAAAAAGCCATGTAAAGATGGGAAACACAGGGAGTCTGGACCCTGTATAGTATTGTGTTCATTTTGAATTTTTTGATTGCTGTGAAAATAAACCAGCCTAGATATTTTAAGAACGCCTTAAATTTTAAAAAAGTCAAAAGTGTATTTGTCAAATGGAAATCAAAAATGCTTTGGAGAAGAGATTTTGCTTTTGTTTCCACAGGAAACAATAGGTTGTGCGTTTGTTCCATGAAACACGATTAATAAAAACTCAGGAAGAAATTGAGGTTCAACCTGAAGATCTAAAAAGTAAAACAGTCAGACTGGCTCTTATCTCAACCTCAGTCCAAAATGGTGATCCTGGGGCTGGAGAGATGGCTCAGTGGTTAAGAGCATTGCCTGTTCTTCCAAAGGTCCTGAGTTCAATTCCCAGCAACCACATGGTGGCTCACAACCATCTGTAAAGAGGTCTGGTGCCCTCTTCTGGCCTGCAGACATGCACACAGACAGAATACTGTGTGCATAATAAATAAATAAATAAATGAAAAACAAAAAACAAAAAACAAAATGGTGATCCTGCCTCCAGGAATCTCAGAATGAGACTGTGTCTGAGAGCTGTCTCCTCCCGTCTCATAATTCCCTCTAGTTCTAGGATTAAAGGTGTGCACCACTGGGATTAAAGGCGCACACCACCTGATTTCTATGGCAACTAGTGTGGCTACTGGGATTAAAGGTGTGTGTCAGCCCTTCCTGGTCTGTAAGGCTGGCCAGTGTGGCTATTATACTTCTCCGATCCCAGGCAAGCTTTATTTATTAAAATACAATTGAAATGCCACTACAGTTCCAGGTTGATTTGGATCTGGTTTGATCAGGGGCGCTATCTTCTGAAACTTGACAGGTGATATCTATTAACAAAGGTTATAACTGATCTTCCCAGGACTTGGCTGTTATCTCAGATTTTCTCTCTGGGACCCTAAAAATACTTCACCCACATTCAAGAGGAAGCAGTCTAGAGAACACAAGTCCACATTCCCAAGACAAAAGGGGGTGTGGGTGGTCTTTGGTTACCTTGTAGGTCAAGGATATTTCTTATATTTAGGGGAATATAAGATAAAAACTTCAGAAGGATAAGAGAACCACCAGAGAACCAGGAACAGAATAAGAAAAACAGATCTGTCTAATACAGAAGTTCATGAACGTAAGAAATTTCACAACACCTTTATTTACTTCTCCATATCTTAATCTTGTACTAGATATTACCTTATCATTTCCTATAGGGAAGTAAAAAGCAGCTCAGAAGCTCTGTAACTTAACCAAAGTCATAAAGCTAGTAAAAAGTAAAAATAGGGCCGGGCGGTGGTGGCGCACGCCTTTAATCCCAGCACTCGGGAGGCAGAGGCAGGCGGATCTCTGTGAGTTCGAGGCCAGCCTGGTCTACAAGAGCTAGTTCCAGGACAGGAACCAAAAGCTACAGAGAAACCCTGTCTCGAAAAATCAAAAAAAAAAAAAAAAAAAAAAAAGTAAAAATAGGGGCTGGAAAAATTGCTCAGTGGTTAAGAACTCCCTACTGCTCTTCCACAAGGCCTGAGTTCAATCCCCAACACCCACATCAGGCAGCTCACAAATGTCTGTAACTTTAGCTCCAAGAAGATCTAATACCTGGCTTCTATGGGCAATAAACATCTCAACTCACAAACATACACATAATTAAAACTTAAATCTTCAGGGAAAAATTGTGGTAGTTCATGCTTGTAATCAGAACACTAATCAAACGGATTGTTTTGTGACTGCGGCCCATTTCTACATACAAAAGAAAAAATATCAAAGCATGACAGCACATACTTAAGAGGCAAAAGGATTTAAGTTTAGGGACGACATTAAAAGGAAAGACGGAAAAGATGGATAAGTGCGACAACCCTAAACTGCTTCTACACCTACTTTTCTTTCTTTTCTTTTTTTTTTTAAATATTTATTTATTATTTATTATGTATACAATAGTCTATCTGTGTGTATGCCGAAGTCCAGAAGAGGGCACCAGACCTTATTACAGATGGTTGTGAACCACCATGTGGTTGCTGGGAATTGAACTCAGGACCTTTGGAAGAGCAGGCAATGCTCTTAACCACTGCGCCATCTCTCCAGCCCCCCTACACCTACTTTTCTATATGATTTACAATGGTAACATACTGAAGAAAACAACCTTATTTACTCATTTATTTAAAAGTGTTAAAAATGCCAGGCATGGAGGTATACACCTTTAATCCCAGCACTCAAGAAGCAGAGGCAGATTTCTCTGAGTGCCAACCTGGTTTAGATAGTGAGTTACAGGCCAGCCAGAGCTATACAGTGAGACCATATTTCAAAAAGACTAAATAAATGTGTTAAGATATGTCTTTGAAAAAGTATAGTTCAGATACTGCTTTTATATTTTTCTTTTTTTTTTTAATATTTATTTATTTATTAAGTATACAATGTTCTCTCTGTGTGTATGCCTGCAGGCCAGAAAAGGGCACCAGACCTCATTACAGATGGTTGTGAGCCACCATGTGGTTGCTGGGAATTGAACTCAGGACCTTTGGAAGAGCAGGCAATGCTCCCAACCTCTGAGCCATCTCTCCAGCCCAAAGTCTTTTTTTTTTTATACTTTTCTTTTTCAGACCTAGGTACCAAATGCAGAAACTCTCACAATGCAGGCAGATTCTATACTGCTGACATACAGACCCAGCTCCTACGTTTGCACTAAATTATTTTTTTAAAGAAAATTATGCAGTTGCTTATGCAGCAGCACCGAATTCAAGTGTTCACAGTTTTCTGCAATTGCAGATCTTTAGCACTCTGAACGTGCACACAACACAGGCCTCTCAGACATTACTCTGAGCTGACTGCTTTAGAAAGTTACACAAAAGATTAAAATAATAAAAATAAGACGCTTTACACTTTTCTCTAACATGACTCCTAAATTCTACAGAGAATTTATGTTCTTAGGCATTTACAACACAGACAAGTATGTCAACAGAATTAATAACTAACTTTTGTTATGAAAGAAACACATGGGATAGTCAGAATGATGCTTCTAGCATTTCTTACCTCATTATTTTTCTGATCCTCAAATATAAAATCTTGCTGCATGACTTCATTATCTGCAGCAGTAACAGCCACAGGCTTTGAACACTTTATGTTACCATCACTGGAATTAGCAGTATGAGCAGCAGCATCAACCCTAATAAGATTTTTAAAAAGTCAATCAGATAACAATCATGACCTATGTTGGCTGTGGTGGCACAAGTCCGTAATCCTGCAGTAAAGTAACTAAATTGGTCAATTCAATCACAGTACTGCCATCTCTAGAAACTCTATTTTTCAAAGTTCTAAAACTTTAACCAAACCCAACTAACTAGCTAGCATAAAAACAAACTCTAAGGAAAATATACACGAGGCTTTACTTCTGAGAAACGTGGAACACTGGTAAATGAAAATCCCTTAATGGCTTTTAGTTTTCTTTTGCTCTTTTTTTTTTCCTGAGAAAGGGTCTTACTATATACAACCTGCACGGTCTGGCCTCCTGGTCCTGCCTCTTAAATGCTGGGATTGCAGGGGAACACGCTTGCTAGCTAATTCTCCAACACTAATTGTATCCCCCGCTATGCCAAGCTCAGCCTCACAAAGCAGTGCTTTGGTGTTTGGTGCCTGAGTCTACGGTGAGAATGAAACACTCAGAAGCTAAAGATGCTCAGCTGAGGTCTTTACCTTGCCGACGCCGTAACACTGTCTGGTTCCGGGGTGTTCTCAGGCATCCTCAGCTGCAACCCCTCTGGCATGTCAGCTGCCTTTTCTACACCTTCCTCTGGAAGTTCTTCTATATGTTCCAGCTTTTCATCTTCCTCTTCTTCCTCAGAAAGCCCATTAACCTACATAAAAAGGAACTTCAGGATTAAATTTAATAAAGCCTTTAAAAGTCTTACTCTAAAAAATACTGTAAATGCAAGGAACTCATTTTAAATTTCATTTCCTAATACGAATTTCTTCTCTAAAGTGTCAACTTTTTTATATCGAAATAAAATTGTAGAACGGGAAAACATATACCTAACATGCACAAGATCCCAGTTTCACTCCCTAGCACTACAAAACTAAATAACAATAAAAAGTAAACAAGTGTATAAAAAAGAACAATGCAACTATTTAATTTTGCTTATGTCAAACAGCATTTCGATGCATGATAAATATGAATAATGTTATAACCTATGAAAAAGCCTGCACTTAACAGTAAGAATGTTTTCACTGGGCCCAGCAGTACACGCCTGCAATTCCAGTACCAGGGAGATGTCGGGAGGATCTCTACAAGCTCCACTGGCCAGAACTACACAGAAGATCTGTCTCAAAATGAATTTTTTAAAGCTTCATTTTCTAACCACTTTTATATATCTAGTAATTTTCTAATTAATCTTACAAATCTAACACGAAAGACTTCCAGTTCCTTTCTACACTTTCTAAGGATATTAAATAATTCATTTTAATATTAGGTATAAAAAAGAAGGCACAAATATCCTGCGTTTCGTGAAATACATATGTAAATTCAGTAAATGAGAGACAGAGGCACAATTATTAAAGGTCAAGATCATCCTGGCAAACTGAGAGGCCAGCTCAGGATAAATGGGAGTGGGGGATATTCTAAAATGTTGCTTGTGGCTGGGCTGGCACACTTGTCTTTAGTATTCAGAAGACAGAGGCAGGCAGATCTCCTTAGTTCCAGGACAGCCTGGTCTACACAGTAAGTTACAAGTTAGCCTGGTCTACAGAGTGAGCTCTAGGCAAGCAGAGACACACAGTCAGACCCTATCAAGGGGGAAACAGGGGCAAGATGCTTTCTTTATGTGTTAGCTATGTTTCATAATTGCTGGCTAACTTCTGATCACATTTTTCATGACAAAACGGGACCCTAGCCAGTGATGTACCTCTGTGATAGAACACTAGCCTAGCATTTGCAAGGGCAAATCCTGAAACAAAGGACTTACATTTTAATTATTAAGCACAAAATTGTAATTTTATTTTTTAGTAGGATTTATAAATGTCTCCATCATGAAACCAACTTTATATTAAGTAATCACTAACAAAAACGAACAACTAAGATACAAAGGGAAAGTCAATAAAACATTTTTTTTTTCCCAAAACAGGGTTTCTCTGTGTAGCCTTGGCTGCCCTGGAACTTGCTCTGTAGACCAGGCTGGCCTCAAACTCACAGAAATCTACCTGTCTTTGCCCCCGAGAGCTGGGATTAAAGGTGTGCACCACCACTGCCCAGCCAAAAACATGGTTGTTAAGTGAAACCTATTTTAAGGTTGTCCAAAAGTAGCAGTTGGATGTGGTGGCACAAACCTGTAAGTTCAAGTCTATCTGGGCTCCACAGTGACTTCCAGACCAACCTGAGCTACTCAGCAAGACCCTGTCTCAAAAATAAATTACATCAAAAAAGAAATTATCGCCGGGCGGTGGTGGCGCAGGCCTTTAATCCTAGCACTCGGGAGGCAGAGGCAGGCGGATCTCTGTGAGTTCGAGACCAGCCTGGTCTACAAGAGCTAGTTCCAGGACAGGCTCCAAAGCCACAGAGAAATCCCGTCTCGAAAAACCAAAAAAAAAAAAAGAAAGAAAGAAAGAAAGAAAAAAGAAATTATCTACCAATAACCTAAAAACTTTTATAAGTTAATACTAATCATTAAAATACTGAGCAGCAGATCTTGGGCCAGAGTCTCATCAAACTAGCCAGAGACCATTACAGAAAACGGATCAAAGCACAGAGAACAAGGGATTATGTGTGTGGTACTAGCCCTAGCCACACTTACACCAGAGCTGCAACTACAGCTAGAGATCATTGGGGAAGTGGATATGGGGACTGTGAAAGCCAGAGGGACAGGAAGTGCTGCGAGGCTGTGTCTCCGGGAAATGACTACACCCATAAAGTCTTACCAACATGGTTACCTAAACTAGACTACACAAGCCCAAGTGGGAGCTCTTCAACACTAACCACTATATCTGTCAGATGAAAACAGTGGCTGGAAACTGCAGCTCAGGGACAGGCTGCTTCTCTAGCACACCCAAGGCTACAGGTTCAACCTAGGGAATCTCAAAAAATTTTCTTTAAAAAGTCAGTGACTTCAATTTGTAAATATGTATGACAGATTCCATTTAATTTGTACTTACAAATGTAATGCCTCATCTACCAATAAAACAGCTACAAAAAAAAAAAAAGATTCAGAGGGGGCAGTGAGCTGGACAGACAGTGTCAGCCGATAAAGCGCTTGCCATCAAGCTTGAGTGGACGTCCTCAAGTGTGTTCCCTAGAACCTATGTAGCTGAAAGAAAAAACCAACTTCCCCAAGCTGTCCTCTGACCTCCACAGGTGCCATGATATCACATCACATACATACACAGTATATAAATTTAAAACTATTTTTATTTAAACAATAAACATTCAGTCTACCTATTTTGTTCCTATTTGAACATGTATCACTCCCATAAATCACTCTGGAGATGGCTCAGAGGATAGAATGCTTACGACACAAGCATGAGGATTAGAGTTCAGATTCCCACAGCCCAAGTGCAAAGCCAGGTAAGAATGCTGGTCTGCCTGCAATCCCAGTGCTCGAGAAGCAGAGACCGGATTCCCAAAGCTATTAGCTCGCTAGACTAGAGACTAGACCAAGTCAGTAAGTTCTGGGGATAAGTGAGCGACCCTACCACAATATTCAAAGAGGAAGGTATTCAAGGACAGCACCAATGTCAACCTCTAGCCTCCACATACAAAAGATACACATGTGTGCACCTCTGCACAAGTGTGTCCACATACATACAAACACATATGCACAACAAACATACTAAAAACATGCTAAAATGAAATAATTTTAGGAGGTGGCTCAAATGGCATGCCACATAAGCATTAGGACCTCAATCTGGACTCACAGATCCCATAGAAGCCGGACATGGTGATGCACATCTGTAAGTCTAGCACTGGGGAGAGGGCGTCAGGAAGATCCCCAGCACATACTGCCAGCTAGCAGAACCAGTCACTGAGCACCTGATTCAGTGAGACCCCCCTGCCTCAGTAGGTAACTAATGTAAAGAGCAACAGGGAAGACACCCAACGTTGTCCTCTAGCCTGCACACACATATAGACATCACACACACAAATTTAAAAAAAAAAAGAATTTTTTTAAAAAAAATCACTTCTATAGACAATAGCTCTTGGGAACTATGAAAGCCTTATGCTACTTTATACTAAATGTATCATATTCAAGTCAATAAACCTTCCATAACCAGCAATCTCCAATATTTTCATCAACACTAGTATAATCACAACTGAAAATATAGCCTTAGGATTTTCTTCTCCTTAATTCCAATTCCTAGCACAATCATTAGGAACTTCTCCAGTAATAACTAACTCAATTATTTATATCAGAGAGGTCATAAAGAGCAGAGTAAAAAGTCCTTTCACTCCACATTAATCTTCAAAAATTCTTCATCTTTCCTTTGTCCACTTGATCTTCTGCTCAACAATTCTTGTTTATTCATAGTTATTTTGAACTTGTAGCTTTGAACTATATACCTGCCTTAACTTCACTTACAGAAACCTTCACCCATACTTACATCTCTTCTTTCGTTGACTGCTGCAATTCCCTTCTCTAGGGCCTTGTGAAATGCCCACTCTCCAGCCTCCAGACTGGAGAACACTGCTAGCTGCCTTCTCAAATGAACAAACACAATTGTCACTTCAAACCTCCCTACTGGACTTTTTATTCATCTGAAGAGCCCAATCAAAGTCCACTTGACTTCTGTCAAGTTATTTCTCAAGCATTCCCTACTCACTGTTTCAACACATACCCCGCATAAGACATCGACTATCTTCAGAAGAGTTTAACAACTAAATACTAGTTAATGGGGTGACACTCCAAAACAGTGCTGAATAAACTTGGCTTCCTTCAATTATCAAAATTAAAATAAAAAGCAAAGAACTGCCCGGCAGTCATACTTGCTAGTATCCTTAAGCATATAAATCAGACTTAAGTATTAAAGTAACTTAAACACAGCTCTGCTGAGTTTGAGACTATTTTACTTGCACTCAAATACCTCATCAATTCTACTAACAAATCAAACTGAATTTACCAAATTGCTTAAAGAAAAACAAGCTTCACAAGTCTGTACTTCTGTTACTTCACTCTAATCAAGAAGTTTATTTTTTTTTTTTTTTTGATGGGTAAGAAAGTTGATCCCAGGGGCTGGAGAAAAGGCTCAGTGGTTAAGAGCACTGGCTGCTCTTGCAGGACCCAGCAGCCACCTGGTGGTTCACAAGCATATGTAACTCCAGTTTCAGGCAATCTAATGCCCTCTTCTGACCTCTGAAATCACTAAGCATGCACACGGTGTAATGACATATACCCATACATACAACATAAAATTAAATATTTTTTTTAAAAGAAAAGAGATCTGGAGTTGGAGAGATGGCTCAGGGGTTAAGAGCACTGGCTGCTCTTCCAGAGGTCGAGTTCAATTATCAGCGACCACATGGTGGCTCACAACCATGTAATGAGATCCTGTACCCTCTTCTGGCCGGCAGATGTACATGCAGACAGAACATTGCATACATAATAAATAAATCTTAGGAAGGAAAGAAGGAAGGGGGGGAGGGAGGGAGTAAGGAAAAGAAATCCCAGTAATTAGCAACGTGAAAAACACCTCACTACCCTACTTCTTGGAGATATTTTGATCAATATACTAATACCTTTTCTATCTATGGGCAAACCCAACAGAATTCAACATATCTCTTCAGTTTTGCTTAATTTAAGTATCATCCTATGTAATGTAAAATGCGATATATTTTAAAGCCAATTTTTCTAATGTTTGAAAAAATATAAAAGTAGTGACATGTAAGACAATACTGACATGTAGACATAAAGTTCAGTACATATAAGGAAATTATAGGACAGAAAACCACAAAAGTATACGACAATATAAAGTATAATCAAGGCATACACTGCAAATTTGAGAAGTCTATAAATACTAGGTCAAGCTGTCAACAATTTCTTTTTTGTTTCTTTGTTTTTTCGAGACAGGGTTTCTCTGTACCTTTGGAGCCTGTCCTGGAACTAGCTCTTGTAGACCAGGCTGGTCTCGAACTCACAGAGATCCGCCTGCCTCTGCCTCCCGAGTGCTGGGATTAAAGGCGTGCGCCACCACCGCACAATTTCTAAGTGAATAATGAGGCTGGAGAGTAAAGTCAAAGGAATTTCTACTATGCACTCTGCCATTTTCCTAGTTGAACATTTATCTCAGTAATAGAATGCTTACCTAGCATGCACAAAGACTGAGGTCCAATGCTCAGAACTACAAATAAATAATACATGTTTTTGGCTTAGTACCTTAAACTAGGGTCAGGAAGTAGGGATAAGGGCATAGAATCCAATCACAGCTACAGTGATGTGCTGCTCATTCATCACAGAGATAACACAAGAACCACTTCCAGTTTAGCAGGTAAATTATGTTTCTGTCAAGTCACTATAAGAGCGCACTCTTACAAATATTTTCTAAGAAATCGAATGTTAAGTATGCTCACCTGCTCAGTAATTGAACTCAGATCATTTGATGAAAAATCTTCCTCTTCATTCTCAAAAAACTCATAATAATTTTCCAGAAGTCCCGCCATTATCCTGCTCACAATTTCTTGTTCTTTCATATCTTCCACATCCGTGTAAATGCTGAGAATAAAAGCTTAAATTGAGCTGAGTTCTTAAATTAATTACAGGTAAAATGAGAAAAGAACCAGTGAGTCACTTTATGAAACTGAACAATTTATGTCATCATTCCGTACCTCAGTTTTCCCATCTGTAAGACCCACCTAATGTACCCTGAACACAGTAATGTTGTGAGAATTAATCAGATAGACTATAAAAATAATAATAATAATGGTTCACCAAGCATCCTATGATTCTTGGGAAACGATATAGTGATCCCATTTCACAAATTCAAATTTTTTTAAATTAAACAAAGTTGTGAAATAACTTACTGAAAGACATCTGGACCAAAAACAGCAGCCAAAGAATTTGCAGACCAAATTTCTTCATGATGTGATGCTACATTGGCTAAAAACCTACACAGAAACTTTAACAAACTGTAATTAACAGGTGGAAGCTGTTGCAAGAGGAACCTCAACTTTCTTCCAAATTCATCTTCATTATTATAATCTATAAAACATAATGACAGGTTTTCTTAATGAAGTAAAAAGTCAAGCTCAGATATTTTGCCAGGTTCACATTACTCCACCCACGTCATTTTTTTTTTTTACTATAATTCAAAACCTCTTCACTTCCTCCAGAGAGGCCAACGCCTTAGGGCTTTGCATTTCACTTATTAAGTGAAAGAAGAGTTTGAAAGGGGGAGGCGGAGAAGGATTCAGCCCCAATTACTGTAGGATGTTTTCCTCACCTAGTACTCACAGGCCTCTAACTTTTCTCATCATACTGTCTCCTGCATGATTACTACTGTTTCCATTTAATGCCAACTCTAAGAAGTCACAATACACTGACCTGCCATCAACAAGCAAGTAAGGATCAATGACAATCTCCTATGCGAACAGGGAAGAAAATAAGAAATGAACAGGGTGACAGGATTCGGAAAAGAACCAATCAACCTACACAGTACGATCCAACTAAATTGAAAGGAAGGTTTCTGTTTCTCACTTGGGTTTCTCCTCAAAATTTTTTTTGTTTTTGAGACAGCCTCACTTGGTAGCCTAGACTGATTGACCCAGGCTGACCTCAAATCTGGCAATCCTCCTGCCTTGGTGCTGGGGTTACAGGCACAAACCACCCACACCTGGCTCTGGTTTCATTTTTTACCAAGTGAATGTGATTACAGAAGCTAGGCCTGTGTTTGTTATGTCAGTGAGTTTTTACTAACAGAAATGGGGCCTTGAGAAACCCCATTAATGGATGATGGTCTAATTTTGGAGAACTTCTCAGATATATTTAAAAATGAAGTAATTTATTACTTTCATTTTTTTTAATTTTTCTGGTTTTTAAAATTAACTTACAGAAAAAAATGGTAAAAGGTTATCTACTGTCATGATAATACTGGCCGTTTCTGGAAGATAACAGAGGTCTAAAATGTTTATCAGGGTCAGGAGAGACCACTTAAATCACTAGAACTTACTGCACAAGACTAAGTACCTGAGTTCAGGTCTCCAATATCCCCTTAAGAAGCCAAATGCAGCCGGGCAGTGGTGGCGCACGCCTTTAATCCCAGCACTCGGGAGGCAGAGGCAAGCGGATCTCTGGGAGTTCGAGGCCAGCCTGGTCTACAAGAGCTAGTTCCGGGACAGGCACCAAAGCTACAGAGAAACCCTGTCTCGAAAATCCAAAAAAAAAAAAAAAAAAAGAAGCCAAATGCAGTAATACACCCCTGTAATCCCGGGACCAGGAAGATAAGAGACCAGAGGAGCCTGGGGCTTGCTGGCCAGAGCTCCAAACATAATGAGAGACCCTGTATGAAAAAATGAGGTAGAGAATGATTGAAGACAACAATTGACATCAATCTCTTGCCTCCATACACATGTATTCACACATACACAAAGTCTATCAGGAGGGGGAAAGTCACATGATTTACTTAAGATTTTTAAATGCAACAACTTTCCTATACTTTGTGATATTAGTAACTGTCCATTCAAATACACCAGTACTCTGAAGTCATAACTGAATGGAACATGCCTGGGATTAGAGGCATAAACCACCACATGATTTTATTATTCTTATGTTATATTTAATAGTTTTATAATTTTAGTGTTTTTTAAAACATCATTTCTATAACTGGTGGAAACAATTATAAGAATCTATTAAGAGCCGGCTATGGTGGTGCTCACTTTAATCCCAGCACTCCAGAGGCAGAAGCAGGAAGAGCTTTGTGAATTGGAGGACAGCCTGGTCTACTATATAGTGAGCTTCAGGACAGCCAAACTAGAGACCCTGCCACACCAAGAATAAAAACATTTTAAAAGCACATAGCCAAGACAAATCAGTAAGTATTTGGTAACTTCTGTGAAGAGCTGAGAGAGAGAGAGAGAGACAGAAATGGCTTAACGGTATGGCACGTGTGTTGCTCTTGTAGGGAGTCTTAGTTCCCTAGCTCCTGAGGATCCGACACTCTCTTGGGATTCTGCAGGATTCTGCACTCGCATATATCCACAGACATGCTTATCTACATAATTTTCAAAACTATAAATCTTGGAGCTGGAGAGATGGCTCAGTGGGTAAGAGTCCTGGCTGCTCTTCCAGAGGACCCAGGTTCAATCCCCAAGACCCACGTGGTGGTTTAAAACCGTAGCTCTGGTTCCAGAGGATCTGACACCCTCACAGACATACATGCAGGCAAAACACCAATGCATATAAAAATAAATAATTAAAAAATAAAATAATAAATCTTGCAAGGCAGTGGTGGCACATGGGCAAAAGTAGGCAGACCTCTGCAAGTTCAGGACAGCGTGGTCTACAGAGTGAATTTCTGAACAGTCAGGGCTACACAGAGAAACCCTGTCTCTCAAAAATAAATAAGTAAATAAATAGTTTTTTGGGGGGAATTGCTTATAACAATTGCAAGCAAAAGCCAATTAACACTAATTATACCTAACATCTCCAATTTATCATCACATCACACCCACATATTTATTTTGTTTTTATCATCTATTCCTCTAAATATCACCTTTAAAACTTTAGCTCAGACCAGAGGGCTAGCTCAGCATGTAAAGACTCTTGCCACAAAGTCTGTCAACCTGAGTTCAACTCCCAAGATCTACATGGTGGAAGGAGAGAACGCCCATGTTCTGGCACTAGCGTTCATGGAAGCTCATGAGCACACACACTCTTTCTCTCACTTTAGTCCAAGAGGGAAAAGATTCTTAACTACCTTTGATCAGTGCTGGTGTTCCCAAAATATACAGCAGTGCCCTAGCATATAGCAAGCATTCAATAAACAATTGCATTACCTGAATGATACGTAGTAGCATATTTATCTACAATAAATAGAATTTGTGTCCAATGATCTAGACACCTTCCCAAGAGAATACCTTTTTGTGTCTTTGGCTCAATAACATCAAATCTAAAAAAAATCAGGGAAGGGAGAGCAGCAAGACAGCCTGAGCTCAAAACCCAGAACTACATGATAGAGAATCAAGTCTGGCAAGTTGTCCTTTAACTTACACAGGCATACTGTAGCGTGCACATCCATACACACAACAAAATAAATGATAATTTTTTAAAGAGATGGTTCTGTGATAAAACACTTGCCACACACCTGATGCCTTGAGTGTTTGGGTCTCCAGAATCCATGTAAAAGTGGGAAGGTGAGGAACAGGACTCAAGGCTGTCCTCTGATGTCCACACACAGTAGTAGTACATGCAAATTCTCATACACAAATACATACACATCATATACACAAAAATACTTATTTAAAAATTGTAAACAACTACAAAGATCAAAGAATCTGTCATTGCCTTTACTATACCACATAAGACTCAAAGAGCAATGGAGAAAATAAAAAATCTCTGAAATTCTATACTAACTGACCATATATCAAATTTCTAAAAGGACTCTAAACTAATAATAAATAACTGAAATAAGAACCAACTGTTACCTTGAGAAAGCTGCACCAAGTGACTATGCAAGCTGCCAGGAATGACAGGTTCAGGGAGCTCCTGCAGGAAAAACCTAAGGAGACTAATGGCTGAGGGGACGTCCGCTTCCTTAACCAAATCCACCTCTTCTCCACTGTCGTATCTCTGTCGAAGCCACTCCACTGTCTCAGCGTTCCCATTGACTTGAAACAGCCCTTGTTGCTCCAGACCTCCTATGTTGGTTCAAGGTAAGAATTAAGCTGCACCTTAACTGCCTGGCCACATATATTCATTCTCAACTTAAAATTCTTAAGCTTTTGGAAAGGCTTTCCTGGCTCCCCAGACTTGGCTAAAAAAGCAAACTGGTCATCTAGCAACACGCTATCTCCAAGGGATAGTCTACTTCATCCCACCCTTATATCCATTTAAAAAGTTTCTATTACCCCAACTAAAAATGTTCTCAGCTGGGCAGCTGCCATTTCTAGGTAAATCAATTTAAGGAAAATATACTACAGCCTTACAGTTTATACTGTTCTTCATGCTCTGCATTATCCATACTAAGAAAAAACTAAATCAAAACCAAAAAGGGATAGCTGTGTTTATTACAACAAAAGCTAGCCCTCAAAGTAAGGAAATGTATACCATGTTCCTCAATATAGTCCACAACGTGGCGGACTATGAACGGAACCTCATTGTCTGGATGTCCTCCCTGCTGCAGCTCATCCAGTGGAATTCCAAATATTTTGTTAGCAAGATCGGAGTTGCAGTTACTCAAGGAAGGGGAGGAGCTCTTCCTCATATCTTTTTGCAGCCAGAGATCAAAGCTGTCTTTTCTGCCAAATGAAAGACAAAAAAGAAAATAGAAAAAGGAAAAAAAGGACTATAATAATTAACAGGCGGCACTATTTGAGTAAATACATTAAAGAAAAATGCTTTAACACCTGAATGTGCACTATTTAAACATGTTCTGTTTATCAGGCCCATGATACAGTCTACAAACAAACTTCAGTGTAATTGCAAAAGCTTTCCTCTACTATAGAATCTGGTCTGAATGCTCTGTGTTATCTGAACACTTTAACAGTGTCAAAGGTCATCCAAAAGTTTCTGGAAAGTGACATTAATATCCCAAGATAATTAAGGGCCAAATTTGCCCCAAGACGACTTTCACTCTGAAAGTGTAGTAATATTGCAGTTGTAGGAAGACGTCAAACCTAATCCATCTCTGAACCCTCAATTCACAAAGTGGGTAATCAGGAAAAGAATCACTTTTTGTAAACTAATGGGCCTTTTTGAGACATGGTCTCAGTGTATAGCTCTGGTTGCCCTTAAACTCAAAATCCTTCTACCTCAGCCTCCTAACTGCTAGGACACAACCATATACAGCATGTCTAGCTATCAATCACTTTATAAACTGAGGCCTGATAAGAACAAGAATAATCATTTCTTTCTATAAGAGCAGCTGTAACTCATTTTTTTTTCCAGAAAGGAAAAATGTTTAGTTTTAAGCTTCCACTTTTAGTGAGGAAAAAAATTCCAGACCCCCAAGCTAGTTCAGAAGAAATGGTTGTCTCCTTGTAGGAGGGAGACCAGTAAAGCCAGGAGACAATGCCTCAAGTGAGTCTCTAGTATCTGAAGCATTAGGTAACAAGTAGTCCAAATAACTAACTGATCTCAATAAAAATCCATTCACTAAACAAAAGGAGAAAAGATTTATCTTAAAAGAAAGAAAAACTAGGGGGCTGGAGAGATGGCTCAGCAGTTAAGAACACTGGCTGCTCTTCCAGAGGTCCTGAGTTCAATTCCCAGCACCCACATGGTGGCTCACAACCATCTGTAGTAAGATCTGGCGCATTCTTCTGGCCTGCAGATGCACATGCAGACAGAACACTGTATACACAATAAATAAATCTTTTAAAAAGAAACATTTTTTCAAGTACTGATATGCCAGATAAAAGGTGAATCCCAAGATTTATAAGTTTCAAACAGTAACACCGAATCAGCTGTATTAGCTAGATCCAGGGCACCAGAGCATAACAAGAAACAATCCAACCAGTTTTCAGGATTGTAGAAATGAACTTAGGAACAAGAAGATAACGATAAATTTACATAGTCTTACACAAGCAACATCTACTCTTTGATGCACTTGGTGCCAGCTAATTAAATAAAAATCTCAAAGTTAATCAAACAGCAGCTAACCACAAGAATTATTGATTTGCATACTTACAGAAAATTATCACTGAGAAAGCTTACCTTTGAGTACTTAAACACCTAAGTTTAAAAAACGGCTTCTGCACCAGCTACCCTCACTGAGCAAGCATCCTTCTGTCATTTATGGTTGTTTGAGATTATGGCAGAAGATCAGCCTGTAGTTCCTCATTGAAGAAACGCAGAACTCGATCAGTACTTCAGCAGTTAATCTACAAGAAAAGAAAACAACTGTTTCAATTCTCATCCTTATGTGTGTTTGTCTAGAGTCTTCAATCACTCCCCATTTTATTTTTTGATACAATTTCTTCACTGAACCTGAAGCTTTCAGTTCAGGTAGGCTGACCAGTCAATAAGCTCCCTGGATCCACCTGTCTCCACCACAGAATGCTGGGGTTACAGGATCTAGCAACTATTCCTAGTTAGGTACTAACAACAACCACCCCTACAAAAAACCCAGGGTCTCACTCTGTAGACCTGGCTAACCCCAAGCTCAGAAATTATTCTGCCTCAGCCTCCCAGTAAAATCTAATCATTCAAACGCACAAAATTTCTTAACTGTTTCCACTGCCCACAGTTCTGTTATTTCAGGGAGGGGAGTTATAAGCACATGTCACCCGGCATTTCTAAAGCAGAGTAATGAACAATACACTAAATGCTAACATACACAGACGTAACACATTAAGGAACTTAAGGAGCTAGAACAGTGATTCTCAATCTTCCTAACTGGTTGGAACCATGAAATTATTTCATTGTGACATCATAACTAATTTTGCTACCTTATGAATCATAATATAAATATCTCAAGTGCAGGATATCCACCTCCAAAGAGTCATGACACTCAGGGTGAGAACTTGCTGCCAAGCCTAATGACCTCAACTCAAGCCTTAGGAGAGACCCAACTCCTCAAAGTTTTCCCCTAACGCCCTCCTCATATACATGTGGGTGGACAAGTCAGACACACAGAGGGAGAGACACAGAGAGAATGAAATGAAAATTGTAATAAAGCTGAGTGTGCAGTCACATGCTTTTCATCCTAGCACTCAGGAGGCAGGGGCAGGCAGATCTCTGTGAATTTAAATGCAGCATGCTCTACAGAAGGAAGTCAACTCAATACTATAGACATGTACTTTAAGGAGTTATTTTGCCTGTCCAAATGTCAGACCTTACTTTTGAGATAAGTGACCTACAATACTGACATCTAATTTCAGGGTAGACCACAACCAAGGCCTAAGAGGAACAGGACTTTAAGAAGATAACCTTATCTTAATATTTTTAAAAGATTTATTATTTATTATTATTTATTATGAATACAGTGCTGTCTGCACATAACCCTGCACACCAGAAGAGGGCACCAGATCTCATTACAGACATTGGTTTTTTTTTTGTTTGTTTGTTTTTTTGTTTTGTTTTTGTTTTTCGAGACAGGGTTTCTCTGTAGCTTTGAAGCCTGTCCTGGAACTCACTCTGTAGACCAGGCTGGCTTCAAACTCAGAGAGATCTGCCTGCCTCTGCCTCCCGAGTGCTGGAATTAAAGGCGTGCGCCACCACAGCCCGGCCTTCATTACAGACATTGTGAGCCACCATGTGGTTGCTGGAAATTGAATTCAGGACCCCTGGAAAAGCAGCCAGGGCTCTTAACTTCTCCAGCCCCTTATTGTTTTTAAGATTATCTATGCATGCGCACACACAGAAGCCCAAAGAAGGTGTTGGATCAATCCCCTGGAGTCAATTTAGACACAGTTGTGAGCCCAATATGAATGCTGAGAACCAAATCTATGTGCTGCTCTGCAGAGCAGCAAGTGCTCTTTATCACTGAATCATCTTCTCCAAACTATTTTTTTTCTTTCTAGAGACAGGGTCATGCTATATAATCAAGACCTCAAATTCAAGATCCTTCTGCTTCAGGCTCCCACATGCTGGGATTACAGGCATGTGAAACCATGACTGAATAGAATAGTTTATCATTTTTATTGTTCTTTAATATAAAACTACAATTTACTTGTTTTTAATCAGAAAAGGGTATTAGAGGAATTCTCTAACTTACTGTAGACAAATGGGTTCCCAGAGAGGAAAACTTTCCTCATCTCATTTTACACAATTTGCAAAAAGTTCCTCTGAAAATAAAAAGAGGGTGGGATCTGGAGAGTTAAGTGCTCTCCCCACAAGAATGAAGACCCAAGTTCCATCCCCAGCACCCATAGGAAAAGCCAGGCATGTCACCACAGTGCTGGGGAGGCAGAGCCAGGCAGATCCCGGGGGCTCAATGGCAGACCAGCTAGCTAGTCTAGTATAATCTGCAAGCCCCAGCTCCTGGCGAAAGACTGTCTCAAAAAACAAAGTGGATGGCCCCTGAGGAACAACGCCCCAAGTTGTCTCTGGCCTTCAATCGAAAACTCACACCGGTACACTAGCATCCACACCCACAGGTACACATAAGTAGGTGCACATATACACACACAAAATTGGCACATACGCAAAAGGAGCACAAACCTGGCATGCATAAGACCACAGGTCCAAACCTAAACTCCACAAAGAATGGTCAGGACTATCCTTATTTGTTTTGTGAGCTTTGAGCAAATCAACAACAAAGACTACCTCATTTTTGTTTCCACACTTTTAAACTGACCAACTAGAATCCAATTGTTTGAACTGATGCTGTCATTTCCAGTACTTTCCAGTTCACTACCCATTGGAATCCTCCAACTATCCTGTGAGATAAGGAGGAAAAGAAGAAAATGCTCAGCTAAAGACTGGTCAAGTCCTGAGCTTGTGACTACAAGCTGCAGCTAGCTCTTAAGTGGATATCCTTTCTAGCTAACAAATATAGATATCACTAAAACTGCTGCTTCCATTTCCCCTGAGATCATAGATTGTTGTATTAACGTGGCATACATTACACTCTGTTCCACACCCTTCACTGTTCCCATTTCTAGTTAAAAATCAGCTACTCATAAATGAACTTACTGTTCTCTCTTGGAGAAGTCCCAATTCACTCACGTGGGTTCATCTAAACATTCCATCCTTCCTTCTTCTACATTAGTAACTCCTCCCACGTTCTTAGCATGCTACAAAAATACTTTATTAATAAAGAAATGGTCTCTGAAAAACACTTGTTCATTGATTAGAATAGGGTCTTCATTTAATGGGGAGATTTTATCTATTGTTTTATTTTTGAGTGACTCACTATGTAGTACGGGATGGCCTGGAACTTAATAATACATAGACAAGACTGGCCTAGAAACTCCCAGAGAGATATGCTTGCCTCTGCCTCCAAAGTACTAGAAATAAAAGTGTGTAATCAGATATGCCTTTTTAATACTGATGCGACAGAAACACATTCTTGGTACTGATGTGCCTAGTTGAGAACTAAATTTAGGCTGAGAACCTTTTTTGGATATAAAATCAGCTTCTTTGCTGCTTATCTGTAAAACAGAGTATTATATAAAATTACAGTAATTCATTCATGTTCAGAAATATTAGATTTTCAAATAAGATTTAACCCATACAGAAAATAAAGACTAACTTCACCTATAACTCAACATGAAAAAAAAAAGTATGGATTCTAGAACAGGGTCCAAAGCTACACAGAGAAACCCTGTCTCAAAAAACCAAAAATATAAAACAAAAAATAGGTATGGGTTTGCAATAAACACTTCTCCCAAAATATGCAGATGGAAGTGTGCTAGCTGTTTAGCTCTGTCACCTCGACACAGGCTAGGGTCATCTGGAAGATGAAACTTCAACTGAGAAAATGCCTCTATCAGACTGGCTCGTGGGCAGGTCTGTGGAGCATCTTCTTGATTAAGGACTGATGTGCTAGGTGCTGTTCCAACAGATGGTCCTGGGTCGTGTAAGACAGCAGGCTGAGTAAGCCATGCGCTGGCAGGAAGCAGCACTCCCTATGGCCTCTGCTTCAGTGCCACCTCAAGTTCCTGCCCTGGCTTCCCTCAGTGAAAGACTGACTGACCAGTAAGGTGAAATAAATCCTTCCCTGCCTAAACTGTGTGTGACGGTGTTTTCAGCCCCAGCAAGACAGCTCTATCTAGGACTCTCTTTTCTAAGCTTAGAAAAGCTATCCTTGGGCCAGCGAGATGGCTCAGAGACAGCCCAGCAGGGGAAGGTGCTCCCTGCCCCACAAGCCTCGCAACCTGAGTTCAAATCCCAGAACCTACAAACAGATGGAATGAGCGCTTGAGAGAGCTCAGCAGTTAGGAGCACTCGCTGCTCCTCCAGAGCACCCACGCAGGCAGTCTACAATCACCTGGAACTCTAGTTCCAGGGACCTGGTCTCCACTACACACACCATGCACGTAAGCCTACTCTTACACTTAAGTTTAAAAAAAAAAAAATTGTTCAGTTGCCTACTACCAGCCTTTAGGGAAACGATAATCAAAAGCACAGGAGAGGCTGAAGATGTGACTCCGTAGATATAGAGTGCTTGCCTCACATGCACAAAGCCCTCCTCAGCCTCCAACACCACAGCAACAGGTGACACAACCTGGTAATCTCAACAGAGGTGAAGGTAGGAGGATCAGAAGTTCAAGGTCAGGGAGAACACCTAGATTCAACTGTCAGAAGCCCTGTAAATAGCGTGCACACACTTTTTTTTTTAGTTGGGGGGAGGGGATATGTGTACATGCTATAGGTAGAACCTGGTGGTTCTATGAAGAAGGAAAAAAAACACTTGTTACAGCTGGACGTAGTGGTGCCCACCTGAAATGTAATCTCAACATTCAGGAAGCTTCAGTAAGATTTTTTGAGTGACACCATCTAGGCATACACAAAGGTCATATCAAAAATAAAATTGTATGTCAACTATGCAATGATGAGTTTTAGGTATATATTTACTATAATGCTTTCAAAAATAATCTGAAGATTGACGAGAAGACTTAAGGGGAAAGGCACTCGCCACCAATCAGATGACCTGGTTTCATTCCAGAACCCACCCACAGGATAAAGAGACAGAACTGAAAGTTGTCCTCTGACCTGCAGTATGTGCCAGGATACAAGAACACTGCATAACAAACTTTTTTTTGTTTAAGAATCTGAAGCCTAAGCCGGGCGATGGTGGCGCACGCCTTTAATCCCAGCACTCGGGAGGCAGAGGCAGGCGGATCTCTGTGAGTTCGAGACCAGCCTGGTCTACAGAGCTAGTTCCAGGACAGGCTCCAAAGCCACAGAGAAACCCTGTCTCGAAAAACCAAAAAAAAAAAAAAGAATCTGAAGCCTAGCATGGCGGTGTGTGCTTCTGATCCCAGCCCTTGGGAAGGGAAAGGAGGGGCAGGGTTATTCTTCCTCAGCTAGATAGAGAAGGAGGTGAGGTCAATCGGGGCTACCTGACACCTGTCTTAAAAGAGAACTGTCAATTTACTGATGATGAAATACTGGTAAATCACTATTTAATTCAGCCATTTTCTTTTCTTTTCTTTTTTTTTTTTTTTTTTTTTTTTTTTGGTTTTTGGAGACAGGGTCTCTCCATAGCTTCGGAGCCTGTCCTGGAACTAGCTCTTGTAAACCAGGATGGCCTCGAACTTACAGAGATCCACCTGCCTCTGCCTCCCAAGTGCTGGGCTTAAAGGCGTGCGCCACCACCACTCAGCTTAATTCAGCCATTTTCTATCCTAAAACATTTTAATTAAAAAAAAAAAATACTACAATGAAGCTACTTTACCCAACGAAGAATAATGCCACTGGGATGGGCCCTTCTACACACGGCTAGGCCTTCAGCTGTGCTGTGACACCTAACTGTAAAACTGGAGAAAATACCCTAATTTAAAAGGAAAAGAGGGGGCTGGAGAGATGGCTCAGAGGTAAAGAGCACTGGCTGCTCTTCCAGAGGTCCTGAGTTCAATTCCCAGCAACCACATGGTGGCTCACAACCATCTGTAGTAAGATCTGGTGTCCTCTTCTGTACTGCAGGATACATGCAGGAAGAACCCTGTATGTATATATAATACCGTGTGTGTGTGTATATATATATACATATAATAAATAAAAATCTTTTTAAAAAAAAGGGGAAAAGAGAAGGTACCTAAAAGGCAAACAAGTAATGACCAGAACAAGTATTTACTAAGCGCACAGTTCTTGTGAAAACCCAGGTCAAACAGTACTTTGAGGTTACAAAGGGGGTGGGGGTAGGGGTGGGGTGACGGGGCGGGGGCTGGAGGCACACCTTCACACTAACCCAAACATAGAAAGTTAATATTCAAAACTATCCTTTTAATATCTCCTACACACTTCCAAGCCACCGCTACCTACTGTTAAATAGGCAAATATTCTGTAGCTGTGGCGGCCCTTTTCAGTTTGGCTTCCTCCTAGCCGAAGAGGAAACCGGATGAAATTAAGCAACAGTTCTTCTAAGTCAGTTTGGGTTTAATTGATTACAAACAAAGAGAGTTTAACAATTCCCACTAGGCGAGTGTGCCAACGGATTCCACTTCCTAGAAGCTTATCTAGCCAGGCGCCCCGTCTGAAACTCGACGCCCTGCGCAGGGACCCCTCGAGTCTGGCTCTGGAGCAGGGCGTTCTAAATGAGGTCCCAGGGCATCAACAGCCCAATTTTGGCTATGGTCTCTGCGCGACTTAAGGAAGTCAGCAACCACTCATCTCAGGTGACCTTAAGAAGGGGCGCAGTCGAGCCCGGAATAAACCACTTTCCCCACCCCACCCCCGCAGCAACTCCTCTGCCCAGCTTGTAGGAAGTGGGCGCAGAGGTGGCGCAGAAGCGGGGGGCAGGCGAGGCCGGGAGCTGAGGCGCACGCCCGCTTGCACGCACTGCAGCGGCTGCAAAGCCAAGGCTGCCACACCCCCCGACAGCCAGAGCCACCGCCTCTTCCTCCCCTTCCCAGCGGAAAAGGAGCCCCCTCGACTGAATGTCCACCGGGGCTGTGCCTCGACCTCCTAGACCCCGACCCGCAGCGCCCAGCGGCCACCGCGGGTGGGACCCGGGGCTGCCGGGTGGCCTCGGAGGGGGGGGAGGGGGGGAAGGGCAGCCGCGGCAGACAGTGGCGCATGCGCAATGCCGGGCACCCGCCCGTTTACCCACCGTTGGAACCGCGAAGCCCCGTTCCCCGGCCTCGGCCGCTTCTCCAGAACCCTTGGCGACGTCGACAAGGCGAGAACGGAGGCCCGAAGTGACACGGCGGCCGGCGGGTCTCCTCCCGAGGCGGCCTCCGGCGCGAGGCTGAAGCGACGGCTGTGGCGCAGGGCCAGCCCGGTAGCGACCCCCGGAGACCCCGGGCAGCGGCGGCGGCAGACGCGGAGAAGGGGGCGGGAGCAGCGGAGGCGGTGGTGGCTGAGGCGCGGAGCCTCCCTAACGGCGAGCGGGAGGGGAGCAGGGTGGAGGGCGAGCGGCCGGGCCGGAAGTGACGCGGGAGGCGGGGCGAGCTCGCGGCGCCCGGGTCAACCCTGATTCGGCTCTGGACTGCGGCGGCTCTGGCCCGCCCACTTGTGGGTTCCTTGGTCCGGTGCCTGGCGCGAGCCAGGGCCGGGGGTCGTCGACTCGGGAACGTTGGGAAGGAGAGGATTAAGGAGGCATAGAAGGAAAAGGGCGCCTGGTCTCTGCAGAGCTGTGTCCCGAGTCCCGTAGAAGGTTCTGGAAACCCTTACGGTGTACGGTGAGGATGCAGAAACCGTCACAGGAAGCTGCCTGTCAGACCCAAGTGTTGCCTTTTACTTGCGATTTGGGTCGGATGAGGGATTTCTGGGGCTCTGCCTCGCCCCATCACACCCCTTCCCCGCTCTACCTAAGTACCTGACCTAGACTCCGGAGAGATTTCTGAGCGCGGTGCCCGGAGGGATCGGAATATGGAAATTAATAGGCTACTTACTCACAGAGAACTTCAGATGCTAAATCAGAGCTACAAGGCAGGAAGACAGAAGCTATGATCCCAGGATTATGACCTTCCTTGTGTGGCCACATAGACCAACCTTGCAGCGCCCTCACACCCTTAATGTGACTAGGTCGTCTCTTCTGTTAAGGCCTTTGAGGACTTACGTTGAGAAAAACGCAGTTTTTGGCAAGGTGAGCTATAGTTGTCTCTAAAATATAAACCACTGCGGGGGTGTGGTGGCATCCCTCTCTAATCTCAGCACTCTGGAAGCTGAGGCAGGAGGATCACCTCGAGTTGGAAGCCAACTTGGGCTATATAACAAGTACAAAACCATCCTGAGCTACTTAAAAAGACAACAAAAATAATAAAAGCAAACCACCGCAATTCCTACCTACCTGCCTTTGTCAGAAGTCAGTAACCTGGAAAACGTAAAAAATAAAAAATCATGGACCTTGGCACAAGATTTATAAAAAGTGATCAGCCAGATGTGGTACCCCTTGCCTGCCGTCCCAGCATTTGCGGGGTGAAGGCTGGAGGGTTGGGAGTCCAAGGCCACCCTGGGCTACATAATGAGTTTAAGGTAACCTGGACTACCTTGTCTCAAAAACCCACAAAGATTTATAAAAATAAGTCACCCTCAGCAACGATCTCTCTGCAAATGTTACAGAGACCAAAGTGACTCCCAGACTTCATCAGAGAGACTGAAATTACCTGTAACCTAAGGTCACATGCCCAGGTGATGCTGTCATAACTGAAGGGTGGGGTCCACAAGAAGTCTAGAACCACAGAACCTGAGTAAGAATACCCTGCGGGAGCTGAATGAACAGATGGTGCTAGAGCAGTGCTTCTCAACCAAGTTCCTCATGTGTGGTCATCCCCAGCTCTAAAATTATGTTTGTTGCTTCTTCATAACTAATTTTGCTACTGTTAGGAATCACCATGTAAATTTCCGCTATGCAGGCTATCTGATATGCAGCCCCTGTGAAAGGGTCAGTTAACCTCAGAAGGGTGGCGACCCACCTGCTGAGAACCACTGCTCTAAAGCCTTTCCCACCCTCCTAGAAGAACTGAGTTTGGTTCACCGTGCCCACGTTAGGCAGCTTACAACTGCCTATAACTCTAGCTCCAAGGGATCTGGACCCCTCTTCTGGCCTCTGTGAGCACCTTCACACACAGGTACATACCCACACACAGAAGCACACAGATAGTTAAAAACAAAGCCTTTGAAGTATTCACGTGTGTACATACATTCAGTGGGACTCCCACTCTGTCCAGAAAAGAGGTAACTGTTTCCGATGACAGAGAAACCCTATCTCAAAAAAAGGGGTGGGGGGTGGGGAGAGGACTCAAGGTTAGCTGGCTACGGATAGTGAGGATCTAGATGAAGTGTAGGCAAGGGATAAATAAGACCAAAATACACTATAAAATTCTTAAGGAACTAATAATTTTAAGAGCTATTGAAAAGACTATGTTTTCAGCTTTTACATTTTCTTCAAATAATGGCTTCTGGGGATATAGCCATGTTAATTTGTCAGACATTTCCTAATACTTAGAGGATTTTAAAACCCTGAACATTTTCACAAGACTATGAAACTGTTAACATTGAAAATCCCAGCCAGCTGGGCTAGTGAGATGGCCCAACAGGTAAAGGCTCTTGCTTCCAAGCCTGAGTCTGAGACCCAGACCCGCGTGGTAGAAAGAAAACTCCTACAGGCTATCCTCTGACCTCTGGCCACACTGTGGCACAGACCCACACATGTTAAGTAGATAAGTGAGTAAATAAATGTAAGAATGTTTTTAAGAAAAGAATTTCACCAGGTTAAACATTTTAAATAAAGCCTTTACCTGCAAGTCAATGGTTGGAAAATAAAGGCAGTAGATTGCTCCAAAAGCTTAATCATAAGCAAGCAAGTCATGAGTAATACCTAAAAATGCAGAGTTCTCCTGGCCCCACTTACACAGCCCTTGTTGGCATAACTGACTGTAGTCATGCTTCGTATGAAGCCTAAGATGTGAGCTTCTCTCTGGCCTCTAAGTGCTCTGTATTAAAGTACAGATTTTCAGTGCCGGTGATTTGATTCGCTGAGCATCTTCCCTCTGGGTTATTCAAGAACATATCTTAGAGAACAAATTCTAAGATCTTAATAACAGAGTATTCAGTTTGTGGAGCATTGGGCTATAATCTTTAAAATAAAAACAAAGTTTGGTGAGAAGTAGTAGCACAGACCTGAAATCCCAATGGGAGGCAGAGATCTGAGGATCACTATGAATTCATGGACAACCTGGAAGTACTCAGGGAACCTTGTCTCATAAAACCAGACCAAACAAAAAGACTAGCGCGGAGATGCTTGTGCAGGGAGAAGCTTGAGCACCTGGGCTCAGTCCCCAGAGCCCCCAGAAAGCTGGGGACATCTGTGATCCCAACACTCCTCTATCAAGATGAGAGATGGGACAGGACAATTGCCTAGAAGCTCGTGGGCCAGCTAACCTGGTGTGACAGAGCAGCAGAAACGAGAGCCCCCACCTCAACAAGGGACAAGGAAGAGCTGACCCCCCAGAGCCGCCTTGGACTGATACACACATACCACATGCACACAAAATTACATTCTTTTTCATTAAAAAAAAACTTTCAGGCTGGGCGGTGGTGGTGCATGCCTTTAATCCTTCCCAGCAGTCAGGAGGCAGAGGCAGGTGGATCTCTGTGAGTTTGAGGCCAGACTTGTCTACAGAGTGAGTTTCAAGACAGGCTCCTAAACTCCACAAAGAAACCCTGTCACAAAAACAAAAACCTTTCTTTTGCCATCCCTTTGAACTTGTACAGTGGGAATAGATCATTTGCCTTGGAAACCTGCCAGTCTGCCTCCTCCTGCACCTTGCTAGCTAGAGCAACTGGGAAGGGAGAGAAGGCACAGAAAGGGGCTTTCTTCCATGTGATCAGTTAATACTCCCTGGCCTTGGACCTTTAAAGCTGACTTTTCCTGTCTTGCCCATCATTTCTCACCCTTAATTCCCTTGATCTGAGCAAAAAACCATATTAGCAAGAGTTTTACTTTGTCCTTCAGCCACTTGTTAAAAACTGTTCATCTTTGTGGGGCCCACCCGATCAGATAAGATGTAAGGCCCTGGGCCACCCTTTATCATTGTACAAGATCAGTCTCCCGTAGCCTCCTACGTGTAGGTGTGTGTGTGTGTGTGTGTGTGTGTCTGTCTGTCTGTCTGTCTGTTTGCATGTGTACTACTTCTGATGGCTTTCCTGAAGGTGGCAGTAAAGGGTTCTGTACGAGTTACTATGACTAACAATATGGCAGCCCTGCAGTGTCTGGGAGAACTTGCTGTTGTTGCCACCGCATTGACCGTGCTGTGGCTCTGTGCAGCCTTCATGGGGACCACAGGAAGATCACATGAACATATCCAGACTCAGGAGGGCAGTCTCATCTTAGCTTGGATTCAGCATTCCTCTGCTCTGCTGCCAGAATAGCGTCAGCCCTGGGCGTCAGATACAGCCCACTATGCTCTCTAACTGCAAGAAAAGCATGGCAAGTACTGCGTGGTCCGCTGAGGGCCCAGTCACCTGCTGGAGGTCAGAGGCAGATAGATGCCTGCTTCTGTGGCCGCATACAGCCGCAGCCCCTAAGAAATCCTATCGTTCTTCCTTCACCTTTAAGCTCACTGTGGTTAGTGTCGCGGTCCTGCTGTTGTCTGGAATTCCTAAAAAGGATACACCTCAGAGGGCGCTTTAATGAGGTCACTTGGTGGGACAGGTAATCTGGGAGAGTTGTCATGTTTAGTACTTCCATTAAAACAGTAGTATACCAGAGTCAATGGTTCCGTCCAAGCCCAGTGACCCGAGTTCAATTCCCAGAACCCATCTACAGGTGGAGGGCGAGAACTGACTGTCTGAAGCTGTCCTCTGACCTCCACACTCACACCACAGCACACTGCCCACCCCTTCCCAAACGCATACATAGTGTTTTCAATCAAAAACAACAGTTCTCAGCCAGGATGTTCGGAGGCAGTGTGTAGATATGTCATTGGTAGATAAACATGGAGCAGACCCAGGGGTAACTACCAAGGGCGCTGCTGAACCCCACATACAGCACAGAATGCTCCATAGTGAACACAGTAGCTTCTTTTACGCTGATTGACTAGGGGTGGGGGGCACACTTGTTTGGAGGTCAGTGACAACGTACAGGAGTCAGTTCTTGCCTTTTAAAATATGGGTCCTCACACTGGAGCACTGGACTGAGCTCCCAAGGTCCCAATGAGGAGCAGAAGGAGGGAGAACATGAGCAAAGAAGTCGGGACCACGAGGGGTGCACCCACCCACTGAGACAGTGGAGCTGATCTATTGGGAGCTCACCAAGGCCAGCTGGACTGTGACTGAAAAAGCATGGGATAAAACTGGACTCTCTGAGCATGGCGAACAATGAGGGCTGCTGAGAAGCCAAGGACAATGGCACGGGGTTTTGAACCTACGTAATGTGCTGGCTTTGTGGGAGCCTAGCCAGTTTGGATGTTCACCTTC